TAATCTTAAGTTATAACTAGCTTAGAACTTATAATTTTGCAATTAATTAAAGAACTATAACTATAGAAACCTCTAATAACCACGCACGCATAACCTAGTCAGCATGCCACAACAACAGATGCCTAGTCTATAAACAGGCTAAGCAGAGTAGCAGTTACTACCCTAAGAAAAGGAAGCTTTAAAAATTCCTCTACTAAAAGCTAAAAGCTTAAGTAATAAGAATAATAAAAAAAAAACTTAAGAAAGTCTTTTATAAAAAAATTAAAATAAACAAGAACATAAAATAGATTAGTGTTATATAAGTCTAAAAAAAAGGTTAAATTCTGCTTAAATATAAAGACTACAAGGACATATTTAAAACACTAGAAGACTTTAAAGAACTACTACTACACTAGCTCTAAGACTATACTATTAACCTAATAAAAGATTACAACCTAAAGACGCATAGGCTCTACCCCTTAACTAGGGCACAGAAGAAGGCCTTATAAGAGTATGTTAATAAGATGTTAGCATAAGGCTATATCTAAAAAAGCTATAGCTTTATAGCGTTAGTAGTAGTCTTTGCAAAGAAAAAAGAAGAAAAAATCTAAGTCTATTAGAACTATAGAACTTTAAATAATAATATAATTTAAGACTAATTCCTTTTACTAATTATATAAGATATTATAAACTAACTAAAGAAAACCTAGTACTTTATAAAATTTAATATATAAAATAAATTTAATAAAATAAAGATATAAAAAGGAGATAAATAGCTTATAGTGTTTAAAACTTTATAAAGACTTTATAAATTACTAGTAATGCTATTTAGTCTAATAAATGCCCTAGTAATGTTCTAGCAAATTATTAATATAGCCCTTAACTTATACCTTAATGTCTTTACCTTAGTATACCTAGATAACATTCTTATTTATTTAAAAAACACCCTAGAAAACTATGTATAAAAAGTACAAAAGATCTTAGAATAACTTAGAAAGTATAGACTTTATTTACAGCTCTCTAAATATAAATTCTATGTTACTAAAATAGAATACCTAAGATTTATAATTAATAAAAAAAAATAAAAATTAACTTAGCTAAAGTATAAAAAGTGCTTAAATAGCTAAAACTAATAATAGTTAAAGAAATAAAAGAATTCTTAAGACTATTAGGTTATGTTAGATAAATAATTAAAAACTATTTAAAAATTACTATACTATTAACAAACACTATAACTAAGAAGTAGGTAATAGCAAAGTTTGTCTAAACCTTAGAAATAAATAAGGCATTTATAACACTAAAATAAGCTATAATAGACAAACTAGTACTAAGAATGTATAACTTATAACTAAAAATAAAAATTTACATAGACGCATCTCTTAAAGCTAGCAGAGCTGCGTTATACTAGAAACAGGAAGACAGAAAATAGCACCTAGTAGTATACTATTCTGCTAAGTTCTTAGGACCTAAAGTAGGCTATAGCATACCTAATAAAAAACTAAAGGCAATATTAAACACTATAAAAGTTTAGGCTACTAAGCTACACAGAATAGCAAAACTATTTAATATTATAACTAACTATGTAAATCTAGTTATGTTTCTAATAGTAAAAAAGTTATTACTAATGCACATAAGATAAGTAATAAAGCTTACCTAGTTTAATTACATTATTAAGCACATTCTAAGAGCATAAAACTAACAGGCTAACACCCTTAGCTAAAGACTAGATTACTTTAATAAAAAAGAAGAAAAAACTAAAAAGTTTACACTCTTTAAAAAAACTAATAAAAAATAGATTTATAACAAACTTTAACTTATAAAAGAATTTTACATGCTTATAGCTAGTAAGTAAGAATAAAAAAACTTAATCTAAGAATATTACAAGTCTCTAATGTTTAGACATCTAGAAATAAGCACCCTATAAAAGAAGCTAAAAGTTGCTATACTATAATAAATACTAAAGGTAAAGCAACTATGCACAAAGGTGCTTAGAGAATGTAATACCTATAATAAAAACAACCTAAGAAGGCATAAGGCCTATAAATACTTTTAACTAATTAAAGCACTAAAGCTACTATAGACAATAATTATAATAAACTTTATTACAGAATTACCTCTATCTAAAGAACTAGGAATAAACAAGATGTGTAACATAATTATAGTAGCTTTAGATAAAACTACTAAGTATTTACATACTTAGCCCTTAAAAAAAATAATAATAGCTAAGAAATTTATTTATAAATTAAAGCAAAATATAATATTAGTATATAAATGCCTTAAGGTTATTATCTCTAATTAAGATAAGCTATTTACTAGCAGCTTCTAGAAAGTAGCAATGCAACACCTTAGCATAGCATATAAGCTATTAACAGCCTACTATCTGCAAATAGACAGACAGACTAAAAGGGTAAATGCAGAAATAAAGAAATATTTAAAAAAGTATATTTTTTATACTTAAAATAACTAGCTAAAATAGCTTCTAATAGCGCAGTTAGTAATTAATAACATAGAATTAGCTATAATAAAAAAAACACTATATAAAGCTAATTTTAGATATAACTTATACTTTATGTTACATAAAAGCTAACTTATAGACCTATAAAAATTAATAAATTAGCTAATAGACCTATGTTAGATACATAAAAAGTTAGCTGTTAAAGTAAGATTTAGTAGAGCAATAATAAAAAAATATGTAAACACATTATAACAACTAGAACTAGAGATCTACCTAAAAGACTACATGTATCTTAACACTAAGAACTTTAAGATACCTAGACCTTTTAGAAAACTAGTAAAAAAAAAAATAAAACTATATAAAGTCTTTTAGACCTAATAAGACAACTATAAGCTTAAGCTTTCTCTGCATATAAAAATACACCTATAGTTCTATATCTCTAGGTTAGAAAAGGCACTTAAAGAAATTCCTTTATCTACATAAAAATAAAAGAATAAAGAAATAGAGTATAAAGTTAAGTATATTATTAGTAATTAAAAAAACTAAAAGGAATTTTTAGTAAAATAAAAAAAGTAGCTTACTAGTAAAAACACATAAAAACTAGCTAAGAATTTAAAAAACACATAGCTATTAGTATAAAAGTACCTTTAAGCTTATCTAAAAGAAACTAGCTAAGTAATAAGGCACTTATATTAAAAGAAACAGCTACATTATTACTAAATAGTAGCAGCCTTTAAAGATAAGTCTTAGCTAATAATAGTTAAGAAAAGAAATAGCTTTTTACTTTAACTTTAAAAGCTTTTATTTTATCTAGAAAGGACAGATCTCTTTTTAGATACTTTACATAATAAGCTTCTAGTAAGTCTAAGAACTTCTAAATATAGTCTTATTTAGCACACTTTCTAGCTATTACCTCTAAAGTCTTTTAAACTTAATGTAACATTTTATTACTAAAATCCTACTTTTAAGTTTTTATAGTAACTACTTTTTAAAGAAGTGTCTCTCTCTCTTTCTTTAAATAATTCTATGTAGCATTAGAAATAAAGGTGTTGCATTTACTATTTTTTTTTACACACTTAACGCACCTGTTTAAGGACAAAGTTAACACATAAGACAACTTTAAAAATTAGTAAGCACTATAAGGCCTTATCTTTATCTAGTAAAAAGGATTAAAATAATAAGTAACATAAAAATAGTAAAATAAACAAGACTAATAAGCTATTTAGCATAAAAAAGATAGATCTTAAGAATGCTTTTTAGCAGGTAAGCACTAATGTTATAAATAAGCCCTTACTAACGCAGTTGTGTAAGCAGAGCAGCAAGAACGCTGCTAAGAAGAAGGGGCAGCGTGTTACAGTCTATAGTTAGACTAGCGTAACCCTACCTAGAATGCTCTACAATAGGGTATAGTTAGAGCAGGACTTGCTTACAGACTAAGCAGAGAACGCAGAGGTAGCACAGCTACCTAAGATTATAGAAGAATGCGTTGTTTAATAGAAGGATAGGACATAAATCTTATAAGTTTAAAGGAGCTTAGTAAGCCCTACTTAGCAAGCTTATATAGGCTTATCTAGCTTACCTTAGCGTTCTCTGCACATGTATATAGTTCCTACATTAAACAACCTTTAGAAGGTGTGTTTAACATTTAGTTTATTCTTTATATAGACTAAGTAGCATTTAGCTTTTTAAAGAGCTATAATACTATTTATATATCTTACACTATATATACCTCTAACCTTGTCTACAAGGACTATTTAACCCTAGCCTCCCTACTGCTGCACATAGGGCAAACTACAATCTAGTCACTCTCCCTCCCTCTATTAGCCTAATAGCCTGTACGTAGGACTGTACACCCTACCGGATTAGCCCCTACTACCCGTCCTACTCCCCCCTAGGAACATAATAAGACCCGAGTGCTTCCCGAAGCAAGGATTGTAACAAGCTCTTAAGGTGCTACTGCTAGTTAAAGAGAATAGCTTCTAGGATAGGCTACTGTACCTACTGTTAATGTAAGTAGTTAGTAGTAAAGCTATTAGCACTGTTAAGGTAGCTATATTACTTTAAAAGGGACTTAGATACTATTAACTAATAAATTTAATAGCTGTATTTTTGCTTAAACTAGTTAATTATGTTAATCTGCCTCTAAGAGGGCCCTTAACATTAATACTATTATTGCAGAGCACGCTGCTGCTTATTAGTAATTACTATATGTAGCATTTTCTTTTCTTAATATAACAATATTTAATTAAAAAGCTTATAATATAGTAAGTATTGTAAATTGCAAATTTCTAGTAGGAAATTAATTTAGGAGCTAAAACAATATTGCTATATTAAATTATTGTTATATCGCGCATCGCGCCATTGAGAGTTGACTGTATAACTTACGCAACCCCCAACGTAAGATCACCTTTAGAGGAAAGATGATTAGAGAAAGAGGGCGAAGGCGCGACCGCGCGGAGATCAAGGGACGAGCCGGGGTAATGCCGGCAGTCCTGATCCGCTTGAGAGATCCGCCGACGCCGGCGCCTAACCTTGGTGGAACCCCGCCTGATGCCTTGCAACGATAGCTCGATCCCACAACTCAGCATCTGGACCATAGTTTTGTTTCGTTCTGAATATCCTCACCATGACGGATGACAGAGAAGAGATCATTCACAATAGAAAGCTTATCCTCTGTCCTACAACCACAGATCGTTCTGTACCAGAACTCCTTCAAGAATGTCCTCAGTGCAATAACTTTCTGTTACATTGCTGCACATGTAACAATCAACTCCTTGGTCTTCCTCAAAGCCGTCGACCGGCTAATCCCTGCCACCACTTTCGCATCATATTCACTGATGGTGCGTGTATGAATAATGGACGACCTGCAGCAAAAGCAGGAGTTGGTGTAGCATACGGCAATACTGACGGCAGCCAAATGTCCATACCTATCACGGACTTGGCGGACAACTTCCCACTGCGGTCAAACCAGCGAGCGGAACTCTATGCGGCAAAGTTAGGTCTAGAATTCCTCGCTAAGGCCGACGGGGCCAATACCAAGGAGCCAACGGGCAAGCCCAAGGGCGAGTCTGAAGCTTGGATCATCGCGACCGATTCCGAGTATGTTGTTAAGGGGATGACCGAATGGCTGCCAACATGGAAGGTATATTCCAACCTTCCTGACAAGGGCTTTTAGAGACTCTTCTGACCGAGCTTGTAGAGGAACGACTGGTGCACATCCAAAGGTACCAAACCAGCAAATCTGGATCTGTTTCTCGCTCTCGATGGCGTGATGACAAAGCACGAGGCTAATAATGTGAAGGTTGGTTGTCATATCCAAAAATATGTTGACTGGATACGAGACTAAGAACATCTAGATTGGGTTCTGGCGTATTCCTAGGGAGCATAACGAACTCGCCGATCGTCTTGCGAAAGCGGCTGCCATCCACGGTGATGTGGCTAGTATGTAGGCTAAAAAACGACCGGTGTGTGTCCTCCATCACCTCGTTCCACGCTTTCTCTGGAACCGGATAAGGGTTTGTTGTCTCATATAGCATTAAATCGAACGGTTCTCACCTGTCACGATAACGTGGGAGGCTAAGTTTCTCGCTATACAGGGAGGGACGTTAGAAAGGTTAGAAACTGAGGTGGTCATACTCTGTCTGCTAGCTTGTCTTGTTTGATGGTGGGGAACAGCATTCTATTATGCCAAGTAGTGGTGTGGCGGTCATTTGCCGGTTCTGGAAGTACGCGCCACAGCTAACTATTCTTAGCAAAGCGTAAAATACAATACAGTTAGCGAATATCATATAAGCACTCTAAAACTCTGCGCTAAAAACACAGTCTACTCCGGCGCGGAGAAATCTTTTAGGGAATCCTGTTTAAGGACTAAGCGTCTTCAAGTATTGTATTATCCTTTTCCTCCTTATAGAGGTACTGGGTTAAGGTACCGAGATACAATAATATACAAATAATCTTGGTAGAGCAGAGGTGTAAAGCAACAACAGTTTTAGACGCTCTAAAAAGAACAGTCGACAACATGATTAAGAGCGCTGTAATTTTTTAGTTGAATAATAGATTCTAGGGAGAAATACATAGAGAATATACTATATTACTTACAATCTAATAGAACGGCGGAGGCGAAGTGTTGAGTGGTCTAAACAATGAATTCATTTCGGTACAGGTGGTTTTTCGCCACGTGTGGATGGACGTTAGCTAGTTATAATTAATTATAATTGTCATTCTAGGTTTGCCAAAACGCTAGGAAATTAAACAGTATATGCAGTTACAGCAATAGCTAGAGCCTTATTACCTGCACAGTAACAAAAGACAATTCACTTTTGTTCTAACTGCTAAGAGATTAATAGTATTAGGGACAGTGGCAACAGCACTACGTTCAATTAAATACCATGCTCGGAAATGAATTAGTTTGGAGAGAAAATTGTTAGGAATTTTTGAAGCGATAGCAATCTAGGCTACTAGAAGCTCATTCAGCCATGTAGTTTCTATACCTTTCAAACTTGTGCAACCCACGCTCTGTATACACACGAACCATCTTATCTTTCAACAGCACCAAAATGAAACTCTGCAAGCCTGAAATAGAACAAGACTTACCTGAAAAGAGATACAACTAATTGACATCAGAAACCAACTAGCCAGACTGGAGGCTTTACCGCGAGATGTATGCTTTGGCATTAACGACCCCAAACTTCAGCTGTTGAGGCTAAACGCCCTGGCGTCATGATCCTCTTCTAGGAGAGATCGATGGTTTGACGATATGCTGGAATTGTCAGGTTCCAGGATCGAAATATTCATCAAGGCTAGAAATGCGTTCACTTGTCAAAGCCTAGCAAGCCAAGCCAAATTGCACTTGACTTACGGGCAAGTTACTTCGTTTTATCACTAACCGAGCTTGTTGATAAGCCGGCCCGGGCCAGCTTGATATGAACCCGTCGCTGTCACTGTCGCGGATTATGGGATATAACGGGGCTGGTTCAGGATAGATGGTTACTCTCTTTCTAACCGTCTCTTTGATTCTCTTGCACGAGCTGAGCAGGGGCCATAGGGTAGGCAAGTCAACAAGGTATTGAGATCCAAACTGGGTGAATTGAACAAGTGTATTGTAAGGCCTGAGGAGCTCTGGGGTGACTATATACTGTACAAAAAAGGAGCTAGTCCTAATGAGTGAATAGCACAGTGCATGGGTATGGTATCGCGTGAGACGTGCGAGAGATTCTGGCATGCGATTGAATGGATAAATTCCACTTTGTCCATGTCCGGCGTTATATATCAACATACTGTAAGTTGAAGGCTAAGATTTGTATGACTGGGACTAAGTTCAATGAATTCATTAACATGCTAGACTTGATAACCTTTAGGCATGAAATTAAATCAGTTTAGGTGCCTCCTAGGGAATTACTGAGTTCCATGTCTTGTTTTGAATGCGTGCAAAGAGACAATGAGACGATCTTCGTTGATTTCGTTTGCGGCATAAATGACTCATCTACGCACAAAGACCGCCAGGCAAGGAGGTGAGCCTGTCTTCTGCGTTGGAAATGCTGGAGGCATGTTTTTCTCTCCAGGAATTGAGACTGTATTCCACGTTGCCCTTACCGAACCAGCCCTCTTTCACGCATTACCGTTACCTCTGGTTCAAGGTGGGAATGCGGGGGAAAAGAACGTAGAGTGCTTACCTCATCGCGAGGAGCGTTTGAGGGACGTAGTGAAGAGATCCGAGTTAGCCGAGAGCAGGCAAGTGTTACAGCCCCCAACGCTAAGTACTATTCTCCTGTTGATCGGGTATGCGGTAAGTGGATATGCTGCATGGGCATGCTATCACACAACGTGGAGCATGACTGGGATAGATTTTATCTGCTAGACCTCTTGCTGGAATCGTAGAGGACGCTAAAAGATTGCAAATATCCGCCTCATTTCAAGTTCTACGCTAGGAGGCGGTCATTCCGGAAGCAAAATCATCTGCTAATGCGTAGAAACATGACCGCGTCGAAGGAGCAAGTCGTGAGATGGTAGCTATGCACCTTAAAGCCGCAGAAGAGATTGTCGATATATGCAATCGCGCTCATGTCTTCTATGGTACCACCCGCCAAGCAATTAGCTGGTACGCATCTCAGCGAGCGGGATTTTAGTTAATTAATGCTTACACTCCGAATAAGCAAGATTTGGTCAGCAGCCTTGTCGTCGGAATTAACTAGTTTCTCTCGCACGACATTTTTCCCGAACTGAGCTGGGTGGGCGATCCGTTCCGGGCATCACTCTACGTGGTCCCTCCAGGGTTCTGAGATGTATTCCTCCCAGATGAGATTCTGACTGTGCCCAAGGACTTGAACGCTCTGTGCACCCTTGTAGGTGCACATTATCTATGCAGTGACAATGGTCAGGCCTGGATAGAATCAAGGGTGGTAAATCTCCTGCGTGAGCTCAGAGAGTCAGAAGCAAGATCGTCAATCTATGAAGCTTGCCTGTTTGCAGGGTATATGTGTACCTATAAGCTTTCAACCAGCACATAGGAAGCGAGCTTCATACTTGGTTTTTTTACCTTGAGAGTTCTAGAGATACTACAGACTTCCAAATTGGACATGGAATAAGATTTATATCCACATTTTCTATTTTGGCTACTGTTCGTTGAAGGGACTTTTGCCGAAAGGAGAGTTGTGCGGTTGCAGTTTCTGGCTCTCGTTCTAGAGCTGATCGAAATCGTGTGGCTGAGCTGCATGAAACTTGGCTCAAGCTGCAGGAAACATTGGAAATATTTATTTGGTCGGAGCGTTCCATGAGGAAGCACTTTGAAACGTTCTGGCTCGAGGTACACCCGAGTTCGTAGTTTGAATTCTGCTATATCTGGTTTGGGTGTTTACTGCTTTAGGCTAGCACGCGGACTATTTGCAAGACAAGGAAAAGTCTCAAAATGAAGCACAGCTGCTTTAAAGGCTGCAACAACATAGTGTTGGACATATTACTCTCTGAAATCGACAAAGAAACGAGTACAACCACGGCTCCCGACACCTTCGAGGTGAAAAAAAGACACCAAATAAGACTCAAGCCCTGAACAACGGTGGGGTCAGCAGCATGGTGCCACCAATTATGAGCAAGGAGGGGGAGAAGGTGTGTTCACGGCTAATGTCCATCCCAATTTCGTTGGCTTACCACAGCGCAGTTTGCAACGAGTGTTGACCCCCGGCACCAAAAGTCATCGTCGAGTATCGAGAACGATGCTACAAGGGGGGCATCTAACATTAACCTCTCTTCTCGACTCTTTCGTTCTCTATATTAAACAATGTAGGTGCCGAAAACGCCACTATAACCTTACCAGAAGGACCTAGCCACGACTTTTCCGCGAGAAGATATTGTCCGAAAGAATTCGGTAAAGATGAGCGGCTCTCCACCAGGCTTTACTTTCACGGCGGTTACTGGTGTGCCGGAGATGCGAATACCGAAGATTTAGATTGTCGTGCAATCATCGCTCGCGGGAATCGCCTCATTCTAGAAGTGACTTGGAATATGCAATTCGCTAACACGATGAGGGCCTTAAAGTGGGTTGTAAAGAACGCTGCAAGCCTGGGGCCGGACACCATAAAAGGGTTTCTGGTTATTAGCACAGAAGTTGGAGCTCATCTCGCCTCCATCACGGCTACCAGAGCAAGAGACAGATACTCGGACATGAAGTTGACCGGCCAGTGCCTCATAGTTCCCACACTCCTCACGTGGCCGGACGACCAAGTCCCTGCGGATTGGCAAACGCGCCTTCGATCGCATATGGAAAACGAGGACGCGCCGGTACTTAGTGAACACACATATGAGATGTTTGTCCCCAATCTCAATGTCCTAGATTCGGAGAAGCACAGGGGAGAGAATTTCCGATATGGGTCGATCTCGAAGGCTAGGCGCCAACATATCCTCCCATGGACGAATGCGACCCGATTCGAGACCAGGCCTTCCTCTACAACGAACTCCTGGCCGAAGCCGGGGTTCGTACTAGGACTGTTTACTTCCGTGGGCTACCGAAGATGTTTGTGCAATTCCCGGGCTCCCAACAACCACTGTTGTGGGAGGGCATCTCGCTGCGGCTTTCGAGGAAGTAGGAAATGATACAATGGGTAGATATTGGTAGAGCTAGTCAAATACTGCATCCTATCATCTAACGAGGAGCATGAGGGGAGTAATTCAGAGACTTGTATCTTATTAACGTTCTCCCTGTTTCCAGCCACGGATTTAATATATAAACTACACGATAATTATGTTCCACATTATTTGAAAACATACCGCACTATACCTTCTTACACAACGTGGAACTGAACTAGGATGAAGTCTTCCTACTAGAATTTGGAGAGAAATGAGGGTATTGAAGATTATGTCCTAACTCACCCTTGGCATCTTCACATTAAGCGACGAGATGAAGTAGATGAGGCGCGGTTGAAATGTGAAGGTTCTGCTAGTTATTCGTGAAACCATGTCGTGGTAGTGGGCGGGTAGCTAGTGCACCATCCTTCATCCAACCCCGCGGTCATCGATATCTTTTTCCATCAACATCGACGCGCCCAACTGCTTCCTTCAACACTCACCCCTCACTCGATTTTCACGTTTTGTCACACCGGAAACCTCCCATCAGCCCGGTGAGATGTCCCATCACCAGTTGCTCACCAGCTACCGAAAGAATTGTGCATTTAGGCAGAATTAATTGATCTGCAGCTAGCTCCCGTCCCTCCACATGACACGCGGGGTCCCGGAAAAAGTGTCCGTTTCATCTGTTTCAAAGCTTGACACTGGTCGCTGTGTTTCTCGCCTTTATTTGTTTGCACGACCAAAGGGTATCTGGGTAATGGAATCTGCAATCTTCCCAGCTGAAAGGGCGTTGTTCTATCGCACGAGTGATGATTCTTTCTGGGGTCCTTGTTCATCGTCCAGTTGCCCTGCATGCGTCAATAGCATCCCCACCCTCTGCTCTCATCATCAGCACTGTTCCACATGCAGCACCGAAAGCTCTCCCGCGGGGAATTTGTGCCGAGAAGCCACGCCACGGACGAATCAATTTCTGCCAACGGAAATCAAGGATGAGAGCTAACCCACCGATATGGCTGCAGAAAAGGCGTTCTGATCGTAGCGCCCAAGAGCTTAACCGTTAATTTATCCGCCATAGAAGCTTTTCTCTTCACACCCTAAATCGATGATAGCCGTATGGCCGTAGGCTACCCGAGACCAGGTTCGATATTGTTAGAATTGGCGCTGGTTCGCCCTGCGCAACCGGGTATAGAAACAGCTCCATCTGCTGCCCTTGCAAGCTGTCTGGAGCTCGATTTTCTCATCTCCTCCTCTATCCTTTTGTTCCAATTGAAAGCGTGTTAACGGCACCATGGCTCCTGTTGCTGGCGCTTCAGAGTTTGAGGCAGCCGCTCTGGCTCGCCGCCAGGCTCTTTCGGGAGCTGCTGGTCCAATGGCTTTGCTGAAGAACTTGAAAGTTTTTGGTATTGCTTGCTTTGCTTGTCTCGGTGGGCTGTTGTACGGTTACAACCAAGGTGTTTTCAGTGGTGTGCTTACGATGACATCTTTTAAGACTCGTAAGTAGCTTCAGGAAGCTCCGAAGAAGCTCCGCTGATCGTTCTAGATATGGGCAGCTACATTGACAACCAAGAAACCTTGGAATGGAACTCGTCGAAACAGGGCTGGCTCGTCTCTATTCTCGAATTAGGAGCCTGGCTTGGTACAATGTACTCTGGATTCCTCGCCGAGATATTGTCTCGAAAATACGCCATTCTTGTTAATGTCGCAATCTTTATCATCGGCGTTGTCGTTCAAACGACAGCTATTGCCGGGAGCGGTCACAATTCTATTCTTGGCGGTCGATTCATCACTGGCAAGTTCCACCACATCAACTAATATCAACATCAAGACTAATTAAGTTAGGTATGGGCGTTGGCTCTCTCTCCATGATCGTCCCTATGTACAACGCCGAAATCGCTCCTCCCGAAGTCCGAGGCGCCTTGGTCGGCCTCCAGCAACTGTCTATTACTCTGGGAATCATGATTAGTTTCTGGATCGACTACGGTACCAATTATATCGGTGGAACCGGCCGATCCCAACATAACTCCGCCTGGCTTCTCCCCCTTTGCCTCCAGCTCGTCCCTGCCGTCCTCCTGGGTGCTGGTATGATCTTCATGCCGTTTTCTCCTCGTTGGCTCGTCCACCACGACCGCGAGCCGGAGGCCCGTAGTGTGCTTGCTAAGCTCCGAGGACTTCCGCAAGATCATGAGCTCATCGAACTTGAATACGCTGAGATCAAGGCGCAATCACTGTTCGAGAAGAAGACGCTGCAGGAGAATTTCCCACATCTCCAGGACTTGAGCGTGAGCAGTGTTGCGAAGCTGCAGTTTGTGGCAATTGGTAGCTTGTTTACGAGCAAGCCCATGTTCAAGCGCGTTATTGTCGCTACCGTGACTATGTTCTTCCAACAGTGGACTGGTATCAACGCTGTGTTGTACTACGCACCAACCATCTTTGGGGATCTTGGTCTCAGTTCGAATGCTGTTTCACTCTTGGCTACAGGTGTCGTCGGTATTGCTATGTTCCTTGCGACCATTCCTGCTGTCATGTATGTTGATAGTTGGGGACGCAAACCCACTCTTATCATCGGTGCCATTGGTATGGCGACTTGCCACATCATCATTGTAAGTTCCAACCCACATACTTTAGCCTAGATAAGGTACTGACCAACCTTCCAGGCGGTCATTACGGCTAAGAACCAGAAAGATTGGGTACATCACCAATCCGCGGGTTGGGCTGCCGTGGTCATGGTCTGGCTCTTCGTGATCCACTTTGGCTACTCTTGGGGCCCGTGTGCTTGGATCGTCATCTCTGAAATCTGGCCGCTTTCTAACCGTCCCTATGGAATTGCTCTCGGGGCTTCGTCGAACTGGTAAGCATTGCTCCCCATTCCCCAAGCGCTTGAATTTCGCGAAGGATGTTTATGCTGATGGGGTTTCTAGGATGAACAACTTCATCGTCGGTCAAGTTACCCCTGACATGCTCCGATCCATGACCTACGGCACCTACATTTTCTTCGGCCTCCTGACTTTCGGCGGCGCGCTCTTCACCTACCTTATCACGCCGGAGACCAAAGGTCTCTCACTCGAGGAAATGGATATCCTATTCGGCTCTGTAGGTGTAGCGGAGCGGGAGAAGGAGAGGTGGAGGGAGGTGCATGCGGAGGTTGGCTTGACTGCTTTGTTGGAGCGTGCGGGGTTGAGCGTGGGTGAGGCGAGTGGAGAGTATAAGGCGGATAAGGAGGTTGCGGTTGAGAAGGCGGTGGTTAGTGAGACAAAGGACGAGCCGGCTGAGAAGGCGGTGTGAGAGATGGTAGTTGTATTTGGAACGGTTCTGTGGTCTGGTGAAGGCTACGGAGAACGTGCTATTGAGGCCGAGTGTGGGGTTGAACCGTTGGTTCGTGCCTGTCCTTTGTGGTTACTTTTCTTCAAATTGATACCAGTTGCTTAGTCTATTTAGATGGGCTATAATACACCTCAAATCTTCTATCTAGTCATTTACATATCTGTGAGTAAGGAGCCTATCTATCTTCGAGAACCCGACAAACTTCTGAGTCCTATTGTATAAGGCTTATAGTCTATCCTACAACTTCTCGTTCACCCAGGACGGCGCACGACGGTATCCTCGGGGATTACTTATTTCAACCTCTGCAGTTGAAACATCGCTCCCACACCTTCATATCTTTTTATCTTCCCTTAATAGGCCTCGTAGTCTGTCTCTTAATTTTCTTACTCGCCTCTATTCTCATACCATCTGCCGACTTTGCCATTGGTTTCACCCCACTGCTCATACCCTTAACCCCCTTTCCCCCCTCCTTCAGACCCTGCCGCCGAATCGCCAACGCCACATTCTCCCACACCCCCGGCACCCCAGTACTGACCGTATAGCTCCTCCCCTCCTTAACATAAAACTTACTCCTCGGCTCCGCCAACACCTCCGCCACTTTTCTCCACCAACTCCGCTCCCTCTGTGCCTTCCTCCACTTCTCCCCTCTAACCAACTCAATATTGGCAAACCTTAACCGATGCGGCGACAAGGGGCGGAGTTCGTCTAGAAATGCCGTGGTGGTGCGTTCGGAGGGCCAGGTACGCAGGGTGGTGAATTCGAGACGGGTGCTGGGTGGGAGGGCAGCGGAGAATTTGCGGAGGGTGGGGAGAGAGGTGCGGGTCCAGGGAGGGAGGGAAATATAGATGGATTTTACGAAAGGGGCGGTCAGGTAGGAGAGGGTGGCTATGGGCAGGGCGGAGAGGACGATTGCTATTGGGATCGTTAGAGCGTGGAGGTAGAGATATGAGAAAGACTGGAGAGGATGATGAAAGGAGTCCTAGGGTAAGAAATGTGGTAATAGAGGAGTGAAAGTAGAAGAGCTAAGAAAAGCGTATACATGTAATGGTGGACCACCAGCTTAGTTTGACTAGTGCATCACGGGACAATCCACCATTGATTAAAAATTTAGCACAATAAACAAAGACAGAACGAGCGTAAGAGATAGATATCTTACCTCCCACAGCCCACATAATCCTCACCCCCTCTCTAGGCTCCCACTCCTCATTTTTATACAAAAAAGGCGCGATGAAAATATATGTAGCACCGAACTGGAATATCGCCGTGCCTTTCCAAAACGCAAGCCACGAGGTTCGCGTATCTCCTGCTTTGTATATACATAGTCGAGCAGGGTAACCTAACAAATATGAGCAATACTCGCTCGCATAGCTATAGAGTTAGGGTACGCTATACCCTTTTCTTTCGATCCAGCCTCTGCGACTTGGCGCAAGATGGACGCTGTGGAAAATTTATTTCGACAGGTTTTGCAGACGAATTGGGAGATCCGTGACCCGCAGATCGGTCTGCTGGTATTCATCCATAGCACTGAGCTTCTGAGAGCTTGGGCGAGAGGAAAGAAGCGAGCATGCATGTTAATTGATGGATTGGAGGATGTGAGAGACGAAACTCGTGATGAGGTTCTGCGACTCGGGTAGAGTTGCTTCTCCTGAGTCTTGGCGTTCTGGGGTTATGTTTCCGTTGGAGGAGCGACCGCGGCAGAGTGGGAAACTCTGGAGAAACTTAACGTCGTGAACGAGTTACTTTGGGCACTTATAGAACCTCGTGATGTACTCAATAGTATCAATGGACAGGACTACTCATATCACGTGGTAGCGCTCGGATCGGCGGAAGCATGTCCGAGCAGAGAGATCAACCGTGTTGAGAACACCTCTCTCGTATCCCAGCTCACTGCACTCCTTTCTGCAATCCAACCCCACAACATGCCCGTACTTTGAGAACTAATCCTTACTTTTGGTTTCTCCTCTACATCTTACTTCGCTATACTTCACTCCACATGTAATTCTCTCTCAGTCGCCATGTTATTCTTTACTCCCTTTCTCTCTCTCCTTGCCTTCGTCCCCCTCGGACTATCCTACAGTACTCTCAGCGACTCCACGCTCAAAAGCCTGCCCAGCCCCGGCGACGACTTTGACATCCACAAAGGCGCCATCCTAGCACCGATATTACGAACGCGAGTATCCGGGACACCTGGTAGTGCCGCTGTTCTTCAGCATTTCGTCGACTTCTTCAAAACACACCTACCAGCATGGACGATCGAGCTGCACAACTCCACCTCCACGACTCCTGTGAGCAACGGCAAGGAAATCCCATTTGTGAATTTTATTGCGACGCGCGACCCACCTGGCAGTCGGTCTGGCGAGGTTGGAAGACTGGCTTTGGTGGCGCATTATGACAGCAAATTGACTCCGCACGGGTTTATCGGCGCAACGGATAGCGCAGCACCATGTGCGATGATTCTGCATGCTGCGCGGAGCATTGATGCGGCATTGACGAAGAAATGGGAGGCTATGGTTGCAGAGGGGGCGGACGAGTTGGAAGAACAGAAAGGCGTGCAGATTTTGCTGTTGGATGGGGAGGAGGCATTTAAAGTTTGGTCTGACAATGATAGTTTGTATGGCGCACGGTAAGGTATCCTATCGCAATTGCATGACCACAATTCTGGTCTTGATCATCGAAGGCTGACGAGTTGCGTCTAGCGCTCTTGCATCGACGTGGGAATCCTCCTTCCACCCTGCCATGTCCACCTACCGCACTCCTCTCGACTCAATCTCACTCTTCGTCCTCCTCGACCTCCTCGGCGCGTCCGCACCAAACGTTCCCTCCTACTTCCGAACCACACACTGGGCATACAAAAACATGGCTAAAATAGAACACCGACTTAGAGAACTTGGTGCCTTCAAATCCTCCCCCAATCACGCCATAAAGCTCGCAAAACGCAAGAACAAGAAACCGCGCACCGAGATACCGTTTTTGGTTGATGCGAACAAAGGCGACGATACTTTCGTAGGCGGTTTCGTGCAAGACGATCATGTCCCGTTCATGGCGCGGGGTGTGGAGATTTTACATATAATACCGACGCCGTTTCCGAGGGTGTGGCATGAGTTGGATGATGATGGGGAGCACTTGGATATGGATGCTGTTGAGGATTGGACACGGCTGGTAACGGCGTTTGCCGGGGAGTGGATGGAGTTGGAGGGATTTTTTGACTTTAAGAAGGACAAGAGGAAGTATATGGATTTGGATAAAACGGAATTGTAAGTAGCGTTTCTGAAATTTGATTGATATCAAGCGTTGACCCTGAGTTTAGTGAGATACCCTAGCATCTTTTTGCAATATTATGGTTCTGGTTTCGTGTCTCTCTTTCCTGTCGAGTGTGGGTGTATCGGGTCGCTCAATGCGTCACATTCCTCGCTCATTCATTTTTGTACCCTGTGATCGCCAATGTCAAACCGATACGCATTAACCTGATCAAGCATCATTAGACACGAGAGAACAAAGAACACTTTGTTCGTAGCGCTGATCAGTATGAGTAAGGTAGGTAACCAACCAAATGCGGCGACACAGCACCATCAGAGCAAAACTTTAAAGAATCAACAAGGGCCTCGAGAGTTCTCTCCTACATTTCGAGCTCCTATCCACACCTCAACTCATCTCCCAGAACTTGCACTTCCATCTCTCTAGCTGCCAGTTATCCTTCAACCACCAAACCACCGCCAGCATGCCTCGCGGTCCCTCCAAACGTAAGCTGGAGGAACTAAGGGAGGAAATCCCCGCTCCCAAGAAGCGTCGAATGAAAGAATGCCCTCCAGGGGCACCAGCATCCCGGTCAACACCTCACAGGCGGGCCGGTAAGCACCGGGTCCCTAAACACCTCCAAACGGGCACCCACTGGGACGACAAGACACACAAAGAACTCATGTACGCCATCCGCAGCCCCAGTCGAAAAGGCTTGTACCGAAAGGACATGCCAAAGCATGAGATGGCGCGCGCTTTGGCTGAGGATGACAAGCTTAGGAAGCGCGCGCGGATGAAACAGAATAAGGAGATGGAGAAGAGAATGCAGGAAGTTAGGGGGAAGAGGGCGGAGATTGAGAAGGCGAATGAACAGGCGAGAGCGATGGCAAGGAGGGAGAGGGAAAGGGGAAAAAAGAGGGCGGATGGGGAGGAAGATGTTTCTGATACAACTGTCGAAAAGGAAAGCCAGGTTACTGAGTATACTATTCAGGGCGTAGAGAAGCTTGGGACGATGGCGAGTAGTGAGGATGGAGATACGTGGAGCGAGAGCGATGAGTCCTCAGATCCAGGAACTACACCATCAGTCTCGCCAACATTTCCCCATCAGAAGTTGAGGATTTATGAATGGCCGTTACCAGACATGCCAAGCCCCGGTCCGCCACCTTCGCCGTATACGCCTGGAGGGACTGAAAAACAAGACGTGTCTCCTGAGGTCCTGCCTTTTAAAATCCCTTATGCGGTTATGAATTTAGTGACGAGTGTCACGAGAGAGACGCTGGAGCTGCCTGGACGGGCGATTCCACACGGGGTGGGAGCAAATTTCGTACCTAAGCTATCCCAGGAAGTCATCGACGCCGCACGCAACGGTTGTTTGATCCGTATGCTGCGAAAAGCGAAAATTGAAAGTGGGTTAGGCTGGGCTGCTCGTACGCAGGTGCAGGGGTGGAATGGGAGCATGTATTTGAACTTGCCTGAGCGGACAAATCCTCCAGCTTCCTCCGCTCAACCCTCCAATAAAGAGAAAGGAAAAGAAAAGGCGAAATCAAAACTCAAGGCAACCAAAAAAAGCGAGAAGGGCAAGCAACAATCGAAAGCAAAGAAAGACAGACAGGAACTCATGCGGGAGATCTACGCCACCTCCGAATTCCGACCCCCAATCTGCTATCTCCCCGCTTTCCTCGACTACCCACGCCCAATGGCCGACGGCGAACCACGCACGCTGGAGAATCTGTTTTACATCAGGTTTCCAGGAATGCAATTACCGCATTTCTACTTCTGGACGTTGCCCGGCGAGTGGGAGGATCCGACCACCATGAATCCTGATTGGCGTTCTACCAAGAAGGTAGATGGCCAGGAGGAAATCCGAGAGGAGCAAGCGCGGCAACGGCTGTTCGGAGAAGATCAGTATAGGATTTTTACGCAGCTGAGTAATATGAAATCCGCATTTCGACCTTATCCCTTTGCGAGGGGGAAGACGAGGGTGAAGAAGCCGGGTGTATCGCCGAATTTCCAGGAAAATCCGACGCACCCGAAGGCCTCTAGATACAACGCCGCACTGTGGAATATTGAGAGGAATCTCTTCCGGGAGGGTCTTGCCTCCGTGTTAAATGGCTACCGTAATGCCTGGCTTCTGGAGGGGAGGTCACAGCATTGGAAATATCTTACTGATAATTTGGTGGATTTGTATCCGAGTGGGAGGCTGCCTACGGTGCCACCTGTTCATATCGGCAGCGAAAACTACGACGTTCCGAGGCCCAGGAGTTTAGCAGAGAAGATAGCGTCGTTGCATTTTCTGAGCTCAGACCAACCCGTTTCACCGATTCAGGGGGATGAGCCTTGGACTCGCGACGATGATGCATATTGGGACGTCGTCGACACTTTCACAGGCGAAGCCCAAGACAATGAGGCCATTGCCCATGGACTCTTCCGGCCTATCACACCCAGTGATTTAAGCACGCCACTAGCGATGTCAAGGAAATGCAGCGTCGAGCATCTCCCCCCCAATTTCGCAGAATTCGATTCCTGGCTCAGCGAAATCAGCCTCTCATACGCTCCCTCCTTGACCCACATCCCTACATCTCCCGCCAGCAAAGCGCTCAGGGCATTCCACCATGAAGCCTGGGAGAAACTCTTCCAGCAACATGTCGAACAAGTTACTACCGGTCGCAAGCTTCCTCACTCTCCGACATTTTCTAAAAAAAACCGCCATGTCGGAGATCATTTCTCAGTCCGAGGATGTTCCTGTTGCTGAGCTAAAATGGCAGCTATATTCCGTCATGAGTAATAAATTGAAACATGAGCAGTATTGTAAAGTTTGTCTTGAGCCGTTGGAGAGAGGAGATGATATCGGAATACAGGAGCATTATAGAAGACATATTGGAGAGACAGATTTGAAGTGTCCATTTTGTGGCATTGTATGGGGGGGTTCCTGGATTCTCATGTACGTTAGACTCTGTTCCTGCCCTGTTAATTATTTGTCCAGGTAGGACGCTGACATCCGACAGTGGAACTCCTCCCACATCTTTTCTCACGACTTTAGCAATGGCCCGAGATTCACATCTATCTTGCTCCGGCGTCGGCTATTAGATTAATCTTCCAGGCTTCAAAGTCTGTCGAGCTTGACGAGGAGTCTCTAGAAACGTAGGACTCGTCCGGCGAGGATATATACCCCACCGCCGACGAGACGTAACCCCAAAGTCAAATTCTCGCTAAGTACGGTTGAGAAGAGGATTAGGTATAACGACCGCGGTGATGAAGAGGGAGACACAGACATGAGTTCAATTGCCGCTCTAAGCCCGAAGAGGAGCGTTTTGAAGAAACATGTCGCAACTCGAACACCACAGAAACCAAACCTCCCCGTGGACACGAGTGGGAGAGCCACCAGGAGCACTAGCAAGGGGAAAGACTCCGTTTCCAAACCGAACTAAAGTGGAAGTAGCAGTAGACGCAAACGCCTCCAAGTCGACCGGGAATGCCTGCGGGAATACCTGGACACGCCTTCCATGGCTTCCGAATGTACCTCAAGCCCGCCTATCAGAGCCCGTTCTCGCCGCCGAGCGACTGACCCTACAGTAACTTGGAATCCAAGGCGATATTCTTCAACTAGTGGCTCGGAGCATATTTCTAGCCCTCCGTACCGCCTTGTGCGTCTGTGGCAGGATCACCATCCGAATGCGACGTGGGAGCCTAGAAAGTGGAGTCAGAGTACCGAGGAGAGTCTAGAGTATTTTACGGGTCGACACACGCGGGCTACGAAGGCAGGGAGAAGAACCGCCGCTCCAACTGCGAGAGGCAAAGGAAAAGGGAAACCTCCGGTTGTGAATCTGGAAAATAGTGACACCACATCCCCTGCCCCATCGTCTGCCACTTTGCCTGCTATAGCTCCGCAACCTCGATGACGCGGCATGATTAGAACCGGTCCTGGAGATACAAACACCCCATCTTCTCCATTTCCCGCTTCTCCCAAATCTCTGATTCTACACGCCTCGTCTCGCCAAAGAAGCTCCAACCGTAGGCAGCAGGGAGTCGGCGAGGAAGCAGAAAGAACTACCTCAGTGACCATGGGGAGAAGAGGAGTCCATTACATTCAGAAATGAGCACGGGCGCTTCAAAAAAAACTAAAGATGATCTACCAACTGGTAACCCATTTCTCCCTCCACCGAAGAAAGGGAAGTGCAGGGGCATGCACAAAGCTAAGGCTGCTTCAAAGGCAACAAAAGTTACCAAGGTCAAAAAACATACACCCAAGGAAGTCGCTGTCGAAGCCAAAAAGAGAGTAGCCGTGCTGGCACTCGTGACAATGAGCGCAAGCAAGGAAACCCTTTCTGGAAGGCCGTTTGTGGAGCCACTACCTCATGCACCTGCGAGGCAATTTTCAAAACTAATACCCAAAGATCCGCCTTCACCAAGTACTATCGAATTGGAAGACCTAGATTTGTACGCACCTCTAGCCCCAGCTCGGTGACGTCTGGTACTGAATCTAAGCTAGCAGCCCGAAGGAAGACATCTACCGGGCCCTTCTCCTTCCTGCTCGCCCTCAAAACCCCACTCCCTTCCAATCTCACAAACCAAAACTATCCCTTGACGTGCCCTACTCAGACTCCCAAACTATCGTCCCACCAAACATGCCCGCATAGAAAGACGCAGACATCCAAGCTTGCCGGTACTAATCTCTGAGTCTCGGAGTAAGCTGGATTCTGGGGAGCTGAGTGACAAGATCAGTATGGTGAGAGATGTGCCAGCTCGGACTTCAGGGAAAGGGAAACCGAGGGGATGGGGGGTTATTAAGATGGGGGTGAAGGAGGGGGTGAAGGATAAGGTGGAGAGGAAGGCTAGGTCGAAGACGACGTCCCTGGTGAAAATTACAACAAAAACCAGGGCGACCACAGCGGAAGCACCTTCGAAACCGAAGGTTCTATGGCGAAGCAAAAGACCGAGCCGCGTCTGGTAGTGTGACGAAGACTAGAGCAAGATTAGAGACTCCAAAAAAGCGGCGGTGGGAACGATTGCAGGGGAGAAGCGCGGGAGACCAGGAAGTGAGGTGATCAGTTTTCTCTTTTTGTTAAAATTTCACCAATTCTATAGATCTCATAAGCGTTCTTGCTTTTCTTTTTGTCAACCCCTTAGCCTTAAGAGTGTTGGGATCATAAATTTAGATTGGTCAAATTCCAGCTACATAAGCCCAATTCCTCGCTCCCTTAACAAGTAAAAACACTCGGCCCCGGAACCGTGTAAGTTTTCTGGCCGGCATATAAATTATACAAAATCCCGGGGTCCGTCGCCTTGTACGCACCAGGGAAGCTCACTGTCGCAGGCGTCTTACTTGCCGAACCTCCGGTAACATTAATTTGGGCACACTCCATATAAAATTGCGCACCGTTCGCATTTTGCGCGCCGTGCAGAGCGATGAGTTCGCCTCGGAGCAGGTACTGCCCTGGAGCGATGCATTGTGGAATTGTGACAGTTTGGACGCCAGAGGCGGAGATCAGGCGTTCCACACCCCATTTTGTACCGTCGAAGCCATCTTGTTGGATTTTGAACCAGCCACCTGGAGGGTTTGTTAGTTTTGGGACTGATTGGGCTATTTTGAAGTGAGGTTTGGAAGTTGGGAATTCATGGGGAGTTGGAAGTTGGGCTACAAACCGCCAACACCAGAATCCTTGGTCGCATCAGACACCTTCTTCATGTACGCCATAACGGGTCCCTTGTGACTCGGGTCGATGACATCGCTAGCAGCGGAGGTGAGAGTGTGTCGCCATGTCAGCTTGGCTGTTGAGCCGGCTTGCACGGTGATGACTTTGGAGGTTGCGGTTGTGGGGTTTGGTCCGCCGTTGCAGACTATATTGTTAGATGATACGTCTGTAATTGGCTATGATATTTTAGAGGTGACTTTGACTGATGGAGGAATACAAACGTACGCCATCGTAAGAAGGAACCCGGACGCCATCACCCACAGCACCTCCGTTGAGAGAAACGAATATCGTATGTGCTGAAGCCGATGAAATGGCAGCGGCCAGTGTAAGAGAAGTAGAAATCTTCATACTGACAAGATGGTAGCTGGTATCCAAATATCAAATGTCGTCGCACCGAAAACACCACGGGCTCAGGCAAAGTATATAAACAAGTCCACACTACTAGCTACAAACCCTGGCTTCAAGATGCCAGACGTGCACTCTCCCGTTTCGAGTAACTCTCCAGCCATCCGCATCCCGGTCGGCGGAAAATACTTCTCGCATCCACCAACCATGGACTCATTCGTAAAGTGCCACGAGCCTCCAAATTTTGCCCAACGCTCCATCCCCCTCGCGGAGCGGAGCACCTCGTCCGGTGACACCTTGAGATTAATATATATGAGAAAGACGTAAACGATTAAGAACTCGCTAAATGCGGGCCAATGAGAGGAGTAGTTTGAAATTGTAGGAGGGAGCACCACTGGGAAATCCGGGGCAGTGTATATGAGAAACGGGACTGCGTGACCTGGATACAGGACCAAGATTGCCGAGACTAGTGAGGTAGTGTATGTTTTCTTAGGGGATTGAATGTGTTGCCGCTTGCGTAACCTGTGTTGGGCGCGTGGATCCGGATGTATTGGCGCCGTGCCGAAAATCTTTTAGAAAACCTCAATTGCGCTTCTAGAAAGTTTCCATGGTGGGATCTGCCTGATTGCATAAATCCCAGTTTCGTTTTGGGTTCAGGATCTAGGGTGAGCATTGGCTTTTGAGGCTGTACATTTTGGTTTCGGTTAAAATCCTACATTGCTAGGAGAGAACACACCTGGCTTAGGCATTAATATCTCACGATAGTCTCCGCAGCACTTTGTCGAATACTTTGACGCCTTCACGGATCTTGGGATAGTTGTTGGTGAGATGAAAGAGGGACGAGAACGACTAACCCTCTTCGGTTAGCTTGAACTCGGACTTCGGTGTTACCAGCTTACATCTCCATCTCACATCTTGAGATTCTCGACTTCTTCATTGTATGAGGGCGCGATAACGTCGCTGCTATCCATTACTCTTGAAACAATCTTTTGAGTTTATCGCATTCCTCTTCTTTCAAACTTGTGTTGAGTTTGCGACCCGTTTCCCTTCCACTCTCCGCGTCTTTGAGCCATCTCGAACACTATTTCCTCAGAGATCAGCGATAGGAGTCGCCCATCTAGTATAACTTATTTGAGGACCTCAGTGTGCATTTATTCGTGGTTGTTAGGCCTAATTCACGTGCGTTTTTGGCTGTCGAGCTAGTTCGCGCCAAATTGAGGCAGTTTCATTACCCCATCGAGAGAAGGGCTGCATGACGAGCACCTTGTTGGCAGAACCGGATTCCCACTCTTGACAAACCCTCTTGAGATATCCGCATCTTACGCCAGCATGCGGCGTTACACAAGTCTCCCCATTGCTCTTTTTTCTCTTCTTTTACGCTCTTCTACATGTGTCTTTGCGTCTGAACAACCTCAGCAGCCCTTCGAATTTGGAGCAATGTCTGCGTCAACATATTCTCTCCCTCCTCTTCCGTATGGCTATGATGTGAGTACCCCTTTTCTCCATACTTTGTGCTAGCATCGCATTGTTAACTCACTCCACTCACCAGGCTTTGGAACCCCATATCTCGGCCCAGATCATGGAGCTTCACCATAGCAAGCACCACCAGACCTACATCACGAATCTGAATGCTGCTCTAAAGACGCAAGCTGAAGCTGTGCATACCTCCGATATCGCGACCCAAGTCTCTGTCCAACAAGGGATTCGTTTTAACGCTGGGGGGCATATCAACCATTCACTATTCTGGCAAAACCTTTGCCCGGCATCTTCTCCGGATGCAAAGACATCATCGGCGCCGAAACTCTTCAAGCAGATTAAGGCAACGTGGGGCGATGAAGAGACATTCCGTGATGCTTTCAAGGGGGCTCTTCTCGGCATTCAGGGAAGCGGTTGGGGTTGGCTAGTCAAAGTTGAAATTGGAAAAGAACAACGACTGGCAATTGTCACAACGAAGGACCAGGACCCTGTGGTCGGAAAAGGCGAGATACCGATCTTTGGCGTGGATATGTGGGAGCATGCATATTACCTTCAGGTAAGTTAGATCGCTCCGTTTCCGTTCGCACTTACAAGTACTGATTCAAACTCAAGTATCTCAATGGCAAAGCTGCGTATGTCGAGAATATCTGGAATGTCATCAACTGGAAGACGGCAGAGGAGCGCTACTTAGGCACTCGTGCTGATGCATTCAAGATTTTGAAGGCCTCTATTTAGCCTAACTCCGAGATACTACCATGCTACAATAAGAACAGGGGTATAAAAGGTCTCCCTCAAGTCACTTTCTGAAAGCAAAACACTCCAATCGGGTGCACGGTTCCGGCCTTTTTAGATTTCGAACTTCAATTGACGATCACGTTCGCAAGGCATTCAAATGAGACTTTCCTAAATTTGCGCAATCGCGCTTGCCCGCACCTCCCTAGTTAGTGCTTTTCTGTTCTACCCAAGTTATGGGGTGTAGAAGGCCATGTGTAGCTGTCTATTAGCATCCAGTTCCATGGTGTCTTCGGTACACAAATCTTGGCAGTGGATCATTAGTTCTGGTACTCTCTCAAATTTGCTCAAATTCCTCCCAACATCCAGGGATATAACAACGACTGAAGACATTTGGATTCCGGTCCCAGAATATTCAAAATATAGCTTCGCTGTTTTCGAAAGGTCGTCACTATCCTTCATTCCATCCTTATGCCCCTTTCCCTCCCTCACTGCATCTCTCGGCGTCACGATTAAAATGTGCAACGGATTCTCGACAAGAACAAGTCAAGGAGGCTCAATTGCAGTCCTTCGCCCTACTGAGCATCACACCGAACCAGAACGCACGAGTTCGGACCAGGAATGGCACCTCCTCTTCTCGAACGATGACGAAAACCTTCACAGATCCGGAACGCAAGTTCAGCTCAGAGGTTGGAGGGGTAAACAACGAAGTTCAATTGGTGGATATTGGGTCGTTATTCAGTATGTCTCAGGTTTCAGTGTATGATCGGTTGGTGGAGCTTTAGAACTTTGTCATGTTGCTAACCAAGGGTGTAGTCACGATGGTGACCTCAGCGCTTCTCTTCAAGGCCCCCCGAATCGCCTGCTTTCGGACCCGCTCTTTTCATTCTTGCTTGATGAAAATTCTTTCTCAGTCACACAATTACCTCAGCGACTAGATCTTAGTGTAGGGGACGCTGGTATCATTGGTCGCAGAGTGTCTGTAATGACAAGCTCTGCGAAAGGTCCTTTGGCTATAGCTGAGGGCATAATAGGATGGAATTAATGTTAAAACGAGTGACTTGCTCTCGCATAACATCCTTGGATAGCGTGGAGATATGAGAGTTGGCCCAACCCAGGCATTTTCGCAAGGACCCGTAATGTCATGCTTTACTCATTCAAATGGCTTTAGAATTACAGCCGCCCCACATCGCTAAACTAATCCCCAGGGCTCTAAAGCTGCCTAGCCACATTGTGCAGGCATTCTTTAAGCAACTTAATTATTTGGTTTATGGTGCACCCGCTCGTAATCGCTAGCTGTAGCATAATCCTTGCCTGAATAACGCGTAAAAACCCACTCTCTAGCGTTAGTGTCAGTCCCGTTAGGAGTGTTTAGTCTAAATGAACTCCTAGTCACCACCACGACCTGCAGCCCTTTTTCAAAGGCCTTCGACAATCTGGTCAGATCCAGTAGGGATACCATCGCTTCCCGTTCCAGCAAACACAACCCCTTGAACACCCTTGCTTTGCGCCTGAGCATGAGCTGGCCATCGAATCCACAGGCCGCAATATAGAATATCGACTTTCGGCAGAGCAGGGCAAGATGGGTCTTAGGTTTCCTTTGCAAGAAAGAATCCATGCGTTAACGGGCTTACTAGGAATCAATGATTTTATCCTTATGGGTGGGCTTAAGAAGACAGAATTGCTCGCGCGTTGTAACAGTCGGGGCATGTTGCTTACAAATGCATCCAGATCTCCAAGGGTAGTAGGCTCGAATACAAGCACTTATATTGGTTCAGTGCATCTTTGTCACCCAGAAACTAGATCTAACGCAATTGTTGAAGGCGACCATGACTGCGGTTCCGAGAGTCCGGATTCGCGGCCAGCGTGGTCGCTTAGAAGAGGCTGGTATCGCAGTCGAACGAGATTTCGATAAACTATTGGAGTAGCCCTGGCAGCTGTGGAAAAGCTGCAATTCCAATACTGTGGTACCGAGTACTGTCGCGATGAGAGTAGACTTGACAAGGGAGAGAAGAATCAAACCAACTTCCCCGTTCATCCTTTAGGCCTTCTGGCTATCACAGAGCTCCGCCGACTACCACGACGTTTCCAGCAGGATGGTGTGGCCCGTAATGTGCATGGCTGATACCATCAATGTTGTCTCTCTAGGCAACCATATTAAACTGGAGTGTCTCTAGGCACTGATGACAGCGCAATGGCTAGTTGATATCGTAATTAACGGTCCCTAGGTGACGTTCGTTCGAAACAAGCTTTGTAGTCCGCGAGGCCAAGAGGAACTTGGACGGAGTTTGGAAATTGACCCGAGAGTCTGGAAGAAGCCTTCCGTTGAGATACGCGAAATTTAGACTTGCGGCATGGCATGGAAATCACGCCGCCACTACAAGCTTTTCGCCCCACTTTGCGTTGTTGTAACTCTCTGCAGAAAACACTAGTGCTACAAGCTCGCCACATCATTCCGCGCCACTGCAATTCCCTGAGCAAGACGCCGCCTTCCAAGGCTCCTAGGGTTAGATCTTGCTGAGTACGCCACACCGCAGAGCAGTGCAAAAAGAATAGCTAGTGTTTCTACTGCGGGTGATCCCTAATTTTGATACCTAGTCACACCATATCTGCTATCATCAGAAGGGATAGTTAATCATGTGAAACTCGCGTGCTTGGGTAACACCGTGCTCCCGTATTTCTAGAGTTTTGGGAAGATATCTCAAGCGCGCTAGCACGAAGCCTCCAGCCTTACGGTCTAGGTAGCTTCACCCTACTATCACCTACCAAGCTCTTACCTGCAATGCCGAAAAGGAGTTTGAACACTTTCCTAGGGAGCTAAGAACAGGAGTTGGGCACACCTGGATAATGTGTAACTAGGCCTAGCCAGTATCTACTAGTGCCTGTACCCCCATATGTATAATGGTTGCCTTAGAGCCTCCACATGAATACAATACTCTTCCACTGCATAATGAAGTCCACACTTCAAGGCCATAACTTCATCGGATGGCCTAGGCAATACGGTGAGGATTATTACCGATCTTCACCTAGACCGCTCATAACGGTCATGAACTCACCTCTGACAACTCATGCTGCGGGTGCAGCACAGGCCACTTCGTACGACAGCCTATATCCAAACCTAACACAACAACTAAGTGATGTCAAGGTTAAGTTTGTGCGCGCCCCCAAGGCAGCATCATCCAGGAGCGTCTCTTTGGATAGTCCTGTCGCCACAAACTAGAGAAAGCCCTTCGCCCGCGCTACTCACGAGCATCTCAGGTCCAACCATGCGTCAGCGCTTCCAACAGTCCGTAGTACGTAACCGTAGTACGTGAACGTAACTGTCACGTGAGCAGTAAGTACGTACTTGCTTTTTAAGCTGTAACTTACGGCTCACATCTCTGCCCCTACATACCGTAGTACGTCTCAAAAAGTCAATATTTCCTAGCAATATAGACCCTAATTAGACATGTCTAGGGACGCGTTAGCAGCGTGTTTAAGGTTACATTTTTAAGTAACAATTAGGTAAAAACTCTAAGGTTTGTAGGATGTTAGGAGATAGAGATGTAGGATCTTATGTAAATAGTTAACTTTTTGCCCTGTTTATTGTCCTAAATCCATACTTGCCTATACTCCTGTCTATTATAAGCTAACAGATGTCCTAGTTCCTCTATTATAGCAAGCGTACAGCCTTATCCTAGGGATCCTCCTAAGCCAGCTCCTCCTAGGGATCCTCTTAAGCTAGCTCTTCTCTACAAAGTGAGGTATATTATCACACTAGCTTTTATTACCTTGCTAAATTAAAGTCTACTCTATTAAAGGGTTCCCTAGCTCCTAGGGCAGAGGCCTTGTTAAAGGAGTTCCTAGGTAGTCTTAATGCTAGGGTCTCTTTCACCATTAAGTGGGACAACGTCTGGCTAGGGAGCAAGAAGCTGAGGCTAGAGAGACTTAGGTATTACATAAAGCACAAAAGCCAGCTCTGTGGCAATCGTCAGACCTCCCAGGTTTAGCTCCACAGCGCAGACTTAGTGTACGAGGACGAGGACAGCTTAAAGGTAAAAACTCTAGCAGTTACAGCGTAACTTCTTGCAAGAAGTACAGCTGTAGGAGGATTGTAAGCTGTTACAGTTACGCTACGTAAGAGACTATTAATTCACCTGTAACGTACGTACGTACTAACAAACTGGGAAGTTACAGACTAAAAAAAGCTTAATCGTAACGTATTACGTACTGTTGGAAGCGCTGCTATGCGTCGAAGTGCTCCGCTACCTTAGGAAATGAACCCCGAAACTTGCGGTAAAACGGTCCGGGCAATGGAGAAACCGGTGGGCCCTAAGGTGTCCCCAGCAAAATCGAGCTATGTAGTTTCCTAGGTCCCCCGAAATACGAGCAAATTTTGCGGCGAGGAGAGGAGAACAGAAGAAAGCTAGATTTTCTCGAACAGTGGGTCCGGGCTATCTACCTCTTACAGGCGTCGCATTCGAATGGAGATTGAAAAGTATGTGCAACACAAGGCTAAGTAAAGAAGCCGCATTAGGACTTGCACAGGACCGACCGGTCCATCTAGGTATATTAAAGGTGCTTGATTTCTAGTTGCGGTTTGTACAAGAAGGCGCTGTGGACAATTGAGGATTGCGTATAAGGTGCATTACAAACGATATTGCAAAGGACGCAAGGTAGCATCCTCTTCAAGACCTATGAAGACTTAGATAAAATGAGTGTTCAAATACGTGAGGCAGAGGTATGCCAAAATTCACACAATTCGCCAAATAATCATAAGAGATTAGTGGTGTCCAGGAGGGCGCTCTATCTTAGGTGTATGTTGTTCCAATCTTCATAAATATTCGCGTATTAGGAGCCCGGAGTTGATGTTATCTCAGCACTCGGGCTTTCCGTGGTCTATTTGGTGGTCCTTTTTTCTCCTTCATTAGTTAAGGTGAAGCTTTTCGTCTGAGGTTGCCCTTCTAGGTCAACAAGCATCATGGTCTTGTCGGACCGCTATAATGGACGCCAAGTGAAATTCTGTCAGCCGGTCACTAGGTTATCGATCATCCACGCTGTTCATCAACCACTTAATTGTTGTGCCTTATTACATAATATACGACATGGTAGTTGTAACATGTCATTAAGAACAGAGCGTTGCATCGTACACGCCTTCTCCCTGATGCAAGGAAGAAAGACCTAAGTTTGAGTCGCGGTCAGGGAAAGTGATAATCTTTGGCGCTTTCAGTGGAACAATTAGTTTCTTTCTCGATTTTAGTCCGGCATTTGTGTCTTGTTTAATCTCGTCCGGGATAGTTAGTGAAGGGATCTTGTCGAAGTTTCTTCGCCCACAGGAGCCATATCTTACGCCGTTTGACTGCTCTTGATCCGCGGCTGTGGGAGCATGTTCGCGGCTTTGAACTCTGCTTCTGTCTCTCCACCTCCTTAATGTTCACAGAAACATCATTGCTTTTCTTTGGCTCGCCTGGCTTCGTACTGTCTTTCTTCGTACTATCAAACTAAATTTTTCCATCTCACTACTGGGTCCATATAATGCGTCTTCTCCATGTGGTATTTTCTAGCTCGACCGTTCGGCGTGACAGCGACGGTCAGTTCATAGAGCTTCAGTATCCTCAATTTTGTTCACTGTCCTTCAGTTTCACCATTGTGAGAGTGGAAGTAGGGGTTATAGCAGAAGCTTTAGTGAAGGTGAACGGTTCAGATGATTTTCTTAGATTGGGATGTGTCAAGTTTTGTGCTGGAGGCATTGGCGCAAATTGACAGGGATAAGACCACAGATGCTGGCATACCGAGATGGTAATGAGGTTTTGGTGTGTTATCTGCCAACAAAAAGTGGATGTGTCCACTCACTCAGCACCTGGCTGATAGATTTTGCAGACAGGTGTGTGATTGGTAGCACAAAGGACAAAGGATGGCATCTAGAACAACAAGAAATTTATATTGCCTCAGATGTGAATGCAACAAACACTAATTAAAAACGATGGAGCATGAAATAATAGTTACATGACTTGGATTGATCGCTATGGGTACTGTCTGTAAAGGAACCCCACATCAGCACCACTCTGAAAAGTCCTTGTCGACTAATAGCATGACATTTTCTTAACGTAGGGTCCTGGGTGTGCTTCCCCTTTCACTTCACTTCGGCTCAACCTTTCTCCATGGTAGCAAAATAGGAGCCATAGTCATCTTTTGCCCCCTTCTCCACTTCAATCTGTACTACCTTCTACCTTCCTCTACTACCTTGAACACCGAGCGCCCCGAATTAGAGCCACCCTTCCAACCTTAGACTCGGAAATATGGCGGCGTCTTTTGAACAGTAATCTCTCGTTTTCTCTGAACAAAAAATTGCGGACACTGATTTTAAAGGGCTCTCCAATCTCCCATATTCACCTTCATCATCGGTCTGGATCGCAGACCTATCGTTGTTCACACTGGGGTCATTGCGAACATCTCCGAACCTCTGAATCGCCTTATTAGCGGGCCTATGAAAGAGGCACAGGACCAACGTGCTGAGCTACCCGACATCGAGAAAGACGATTTCCTTCGCTTGTGCGAATTTGCGTACAAAGGCAATTATTCCCTGCCACCAGAGTGGAATCTACCCAAAGACAAAGTCAGCTGTTCAGGGAACTTGCTGGCGCACACGAAGCTCTACTGCCTTGCGGACAAATATCTGGTTAAGAGCCTCAAGAAGCTTGCCAGGGACAAGCTCCATCACACGCTAGTGTGGGTTGCGGGCCTTTATAAATGTCGTGGCGCTGTTGCCGAACTTGCCAGCGTCATATACTCAGGCGACCTTGATGTTCCAGATGGCCTCAAACAGGTTGTAGTCACGCATCTTGCCAAGGAGTCTGTATTGTTCGAAGAAGACCGTGCCATTAAAGAGCTGATAGAAGGAAGTGGATCATTCGCAGTGGACCTCTGGCGCGCCATGGTAGAAGATAAGAAGGCGAATATTGTAGTCGAGGTCGAATCTGATGCTGGCTGGGATTTTTGAGTGCCGTTCGGGTGAAGATGTGTTATAGTGGTATTGAGTTATAAATAGGGATGGTAAAGAAGTGCGTAATAAACTCTAAGGAGGGAACATGAGTTGGTATCTCCTGCACCAGGTGTTGGGGTGCTCAGACCGAACAATAATCTTTGGCGTGTGGATTGTCAATTGTGTGGATATCGGCTAGACTCTTGGGTATCAGAGATGGTTTTCTTTGCTGGATCGATTCCAGCAGATTCAGGTTAATGGATGCAGCAGATGCTTCCCATCAAGATATCTCTCAACATTCTCCGCAGTCTCCTCAAACCAGGTGTGCAATGTTGTTTCTTCGACATATCCCATATGCGGGGTTAGAAGGACCCTGCTCTTACCTTTGACGTCCCAATCCTCAGATCGCCACGGGCTGTCGGCTGGGAGAGGCTCAATGTCGAAGACATCTAACGCGGCGCCCCGAATTCGTCCATTCCGAAGTGTATCAAGGAGTGCGGTTTCATCTATCAGTGGCCCCCTCGAGGTATTGATTATGAGAGCCGAGTGTCTCATCCAGGCTAATTCCTTTGCGCCTACGATCCCCCGAGAACGTGGGCTAAGAACGTAGTGCAAGCTTACAACGTCGGAATCCATAAACAAATCCTCTTTATTGACGACCTTGAAAGTTTTCTCGCCCTCCCCAACGACGCCTCCACCTGTCACCGGCAGCCCTACATCTTCCGCTAACTTATCCGCCTTCTCTTGCGTCAAGTTCTCGCTCCAACATATGATCTTCATGCCCCAGGCCAGCACTCCAACCCTAGCGGTTAAAGCTCCAATCCTCCCAAACCCTACCAAGCCCAAAGTCTTGCCTTGCAGTCCAATTGCAAGCTCTGTCTGCCAACCCGGCGGACCTCCCTTCCCCTTTACAACTGCATCATCCATAGCCACGTTCCGAGCTAAAGCTAATATGAGAGCCCATGCATGTTGCGTCGTCGGGTGCCCACCTCCTTTCTTGATATCTATCTTTGCTCGTGCTGACAGGCCGCTGCCTTTCCCATCTGTTCTGCCCTTTCCAGGCGCAGCACATACTGTGATTCCAAGCTCCTTTGCCGCCTTGAGATCAAATGTCTCGAATTGCGTTCCGGTGGCGAGGAGAACTTTAAGGTTCGGCAACTGACGCAGGAGTTCACCTGGAAACGGTGTTCGTTCGCGAAGCGTCGAGAGGACTGTAAACGGCTTCAAGCGTTCCACCAGTGCTCTGCGGTCTTCGTCGGTTGTGGCGGAGTGCGTGTATACGGGAAGTGTGTCATTGAACGTTGTTATGCTGAGTTTGGAGGGATCAATATGGGAGAAGTGTGGGGCTACGATGTTGTGGTAGTCGTCGAGGATCGCAAGCTTGACAGGGCTTAGAGTTGCCATTGTGTGGTTCGTACGACTAGTAACAGAGAGATTGGTGGAATTAAGGGTTTTGGAGAGCAGTTGAAGGCGTTGTGACATGTTAAGGCAGCTCTAGGTTCATGATAGAGAGTGCGGATGCCCCCCATTTGAATACCGAATTGCGAAATGAGGGGTGCCGAGGACCTACGACGGCATCTATCGTATTCAAAAATCGGCACAATTGCTTAGCGTCACCCTCCACTTTTTCACCTGCGGACTCAGTATTTTATTAGTAAAGATTTTTACTATTTTTTCTTTTGCTATTTCTTTTTTTATTACTATTTCTCATCTAGTTCTCTTACTATGCTTTAAACTAACTTATAAGCTTACTTGTTACTAGATAATTATCTATAGAATATAATCCTACTTTATAAAAAAGGCCTTATAGTAGTATTTTATATAAATTTTATATTCTATAAAGAATGCTTCTAGCTTAACTAAGTTTCTACTAAACTTTTCTATTAAAAGTAGTTAGATGTTTTTTTTTACTTAAGCGTAATTTCTTTTATTCTTTCTATTCTAAATTACTTTAACTGCTACTTAAAGTACTCTTATCTAGTTATTTTTTTTAGTTATTTACTTTAACTATTACTTTTTATATATTAATTATATGTTAGCTTAGCTACGCTAATTATTTTATTAGCTTCTACTTTTTTAAGTTAAAGTTTTAAAAGATAGGTTTTTATACTCTACTTTCTTTATTTATTTATCTAGCAGGCGGTAACTTAGGCCTGCTAGTTATTCTATGTTACTAGAGTTAAGTAGTTATTATTATAATATTGTACCTAAGTTTATTTTAAAAGTAGAGTTATTTACAGTAACTTTAGATCTTTTAAAGTAAGAGACAAAGAAAAAAGAGAAAGAAAAAGTAAATAATAGTGTTGTTACTTTGTTAAGCAAAGTTATATAGAAGAGAGTTGTGAGAGCACTGTGGAGCAGGAAGCATGAAGCGCAGAAGGGGGTACAGGATAGTATTGATAGACGAATCCTTGAGGAGACTCAGGGGTTCGTGAGAGGCTATATATATATGTGCTGGGGCACGTGACGGGACGTCATGTGCCCAAGGCCGGGCCGAGGGCTCTCCGGGGAGAGTCCGAGGCATGTCCAAGTTAACCGTGACAGCCTATATACTTTCTAGCAATTGCTGCAATTATAGGGTTCTAGCTGTAATTGCTAGCTAAGACTAGCAACCACAGCAATTATACGCTAAGACTAGCGATTGCTCTATACCTTTCCAGGGGTATCACGTGACCTCCCTAGTCCGGCCCGCACCAGGGTTGGATCGTCCTTCTTCCGTGGGGTTGGCGGCGCGACATGCCCCTCGTTCTTGTCAGTAGTCGTCACAGAAAGCAGGTTTTTTTTTTATTTCTCTTAAATAAGTAGTTTGAAAAATAAAGTGAGCGTGCTCTAGGGGATTAAAAAGCTGTGTAAGTAGGTATTGTGTGGCTACGTATCACGTGACTCATCAAACTCCACAAATAATGCGCCTTGAATAAAACCGCACCACAATCTCTCTTGGCACTCTATCGCCCTACGTCTAGCATTTCTAGTCCAAATGGCCGCCACTTCCAAACCTTTACGTATCCTCATCACAGGATGCAGCGCAGGCGGGATCGGATCTACCCTTGCTCAGTCGCTCGCATCGCGGGGTCACCATGTCTTCGCAACACTGCGCAATACAAGCAAGCTTTCGCTAGAACTCTCCTCACGTTCAAATGTGACAGTGCTAGAGCTGGACGTGACGGCGGCGACCTCGATCGCTGCCGCTGTGAAAGTGGTGGAAGAAATCACGGAAGGGAAAGGGTTAGACATCTTGGTGAATAATGCAGGCACTGGGTACACGATGCCGCTTCTGGATTCAGACCTTGAGGAAGGGAAGCGCCTCTTTGAAACGAATATGTGGGGTTTGCTGGCTGTGACCAAGGCTTTTATGGATCTGCTGATACAGGCGCGCGGTACGGTGGTCAACATCAGCTCTGTTGGTGGGGAGGTGAACACACCCTGGATTGGTAAACACATGCCTCCCCTCTTTTACTTTCTCTACTGTTCAATGGGGGAGCCGAAGGTCTACGCAAATATGCTAATATGTCTCAGGCATTTACGCTGCTTCCAAAGCGGCCGTCACGGTGTTAAGCGAGACTCTCCGTCTGGAAGTCGCTCCGCTTGGGGTACATGTCCAAACCGTCATGGTCGGCGTCATCACCACCCCGTTCTGGGCCAACGAACCTGCCTTTTTCCTGCCCCAAACCTCTCGCTACCACGCCATCAAGGACACGATCGCCAAGTGTGCTTCAGGTGAGGCTGTACCGAAAGGCATAAGCCCTGAGGTCTTTGCCAAGCAGATAGTGAGCGACGTTCTCTCAAGAAAGAGCGGCCAATTTTACCGGGGACCTATGAGTTCTACAGTAGGATTCTGTTCTAGATACCTCCCAAAATTTGTCGTTGTACGATTGCCTTTTCCTTGATCCATTTTGGTTGTCTCTTCCCCCAGGAGGCCAATAAGCTAACCATGGTGTCGTAACTACACAGGACTCCCTTATTAGCAACGGGCAAGGCCTAGGGGAGCTGGCGGAGTCGTTCAAGACTTCTAAGCAAGAGGCCCGAATTTCGTCATCCGCAAGTACCTGACAACGTTAGGCATTTGGCTTCTGTGCTGTATCTTATCCTTCATAATTGTGCCGAACAGGTCGTGCTTTCCTGAATGGAAGACGGAATATTTAAAACAAAAGGAATGAGGTAGAATTCTACCAGGCACTTGAGATGAGACACATCGCAGCTATCACTCTCGCAGAAATTAGTATAATACTAGAATACGTTCGGGCCTACTCTCCCAGCGATATTAGCGTTAATGAATCACTCACACGCTTGCGGACTTCTAAGATGTTGAGGTTTACAGGCCATCTCCAACGCATGCGCTGCGACAACACAAACGCCCTTATTTACGTGAGCTATCCGCCTCCCCCATCGCACCCGATCCTGTTGGCAACGTGATTCGGTCGGTGGTAAAAAAAAAAATGGAATAAACAAATCCTTGTGCTTTCTGGAAGTCGTATTGAGGAAATGGGAGATACATATATCAGAGGGCCGATTGCACGTTATCATTGAAGCTTACGTTCAAATACTAAGAAACGTTCAGCTATAATTTTCCTTGCTAGGTCTAGAAAAAACTAGATACTAAGCATTTGAAACGTCCTGGTACTCTAAAACCTCCCTATGCACTGTTGGATGTTAACTTGACATATGAGGAACAACGTCAACTACGCACTGTCTGGGTATGTAGCTAAGGTTAGTATGTGCTTTAAATCGTGTAAACACTATATCTAACGTAGAACAGAGCCGGACTACTAGGCTGCAGAAGAAGCTAGAAGGAAGCGGAAATATCAATCTCTACCAAACCCACTCGCTAAAATCATCATCGTAAATGCCTACGTGTTCCATACAACACCCCCACACTCGGCACCTCAACCTCTAAACTTGAAAGCCCACAATGTCCAACTAAAACCCCATTTTCATCTCGCGATGACTCCTCAAATGCGCCCCACTGGAGAGTCTTCAACCACGGCTCATTCTCTCCTGGCTTCGCATGACACGACGCCGCGAGAGCTACACTGGAAGAACCCACCACCGGCATCGGCCCCAATTTCTTAAGACCGACAAGCACGAGAAACACGACAAGCACAAACGCAAAAGAAATTGTTAACAGAATTGCGGCGGGAGAGTATGCGCAGCTAACGAAATCTTCTCCACAGTATCTCTTGCCAAGGTCAGAACTAAGCGGACGTTCTGGGAAATGGAAACATCTTTCTCTGTGCTCGCCAAACATGTTGTAAAGCTCGACACTGACAACGAAGATGCTTTGCGAAGCTAGCCAGTGGATGACGGTGGAGAAGACCATCAACGGAACAGCGTAGCGGTATGGCAGCTGTAGAAAGTAGGTACTACGTTGGGCTCCTTGCTGCTTCGTTGATACTCGGAGGCCTTTGCGGGTTTTTGAGTATCCGTCCCATTCGTAGGCTAAGAGCATCGAGGTAATGACAGCGTTGTATGAGAAGTAGATGATCGAGATGATAACTTGAGGTGCGTTGGCGAGGAAAACGTTTTGGAAAATACCGCGTGTCCCTGTAGAGGTAGTTCCACTCTGGATGATCGTCCTGGAGTCTAAGGTTCCTAAGCCACTGCTTAAAACACTTTTGAAGTCCTTTGTTCCTGGGATTGCTGAATATCCCCATGCTAGAAGTGCCGTCATTACCATGATACCGATAAACAGCCTGTCTTCCAGTTAATATTAATGTGGGCATAGCCTGGAATCGATATCTCACGCAATGATGCAAGTGATCAACTTCCCCCGCTTCACCGCAGAGAACCAGCGGCTCCCAACACCAGTATATTGCCTCCACAACTTCTGCGCTCTCCAATCCGCGCGTGAGCCCCAGACTTCCTTCTGTGAAACAAGACACATGTCCGCCGTTGAAAGGTCTGGTTGCTGAAGGAAAGAGGAAACCGCATCACCAACCGTAAGGAGGGGTGTCTGCTTCAACCAAAAGGCGGTCAAAAGTATCACAGCCGTTTTGAGAATATTGAAGACGATAACAATAATGATTAAATGAGCGCTAAACTGCAGCTTGCAGTGCTCTTTCGCCGGCTCGCTAAGGCAGTGGTCGATTCGAGCACCTAACGGTCTCCAATCCGATGCATTCGCCTGCAGAAGTGGGAGGTAGATGTGGGCATTCTGATTCCGACAGCCGCCCGCGAGGAACTGGTTCACGATCCATTCGTTTCCTACTTGGCTACCGCAACCGGTAGATCGTTCAGTCGTGGGATATTCATATGTAAGATCGCGTACGTCGGGAGTATTATTTACTGGGACAAGGTAAACGTTCCCTTTAGTGGATTGAAAAATTCGGCTATAAGCGTTGATGCAGGCTTTATTATCCAACTGCTCCAGGGTACTCTTTTGAGTTGCTGAGAGGTAGAGTGAGAAAATTTCGCGTTTGGCATCGCCACCAACGGTTTGGTCAGAGATGTTATATGTGTTGCCGTTGAGAGCCCCCATGACTTTTGGGCCGATTTGAAAGACTCCATATGTTTGAGCCGATGTCGAAGAGAACACGGCGGAGTTGTAGCTTTATATCATCAGCGAACACATCATATAAAGATCACTTGTGCAGGCTCACCATAAATGCAGAGGAAGAGAAGATAGCCCCAAGATCCACCAGAGAGCCTTCTTTCTAGAGTCTAGATATGCAGACCCTATATTGTGAAGGCTGGGGATGCCTATGTCAAGGTAACCCCCATTTTTATGGGCCGTTTCAATTTCTGACCTAGATGGCGCGGCAAGACATTGCATGCAGTAATTGCTTGCTCCGAGTAAGATGGTGCTTAAAATGTTGATAAGGAGATGAATCCCGATGTTCGCTCGTCTGACCTGAGGGCAGGAGGAATCATAGAGGACCCCCTTCCCACCACGGATTCCTCCCTTTGAAGCCGCCCAAGCCAGGAAACTAATATTGATGAGAAGAACAAGGCAAGCCGCAGATGCAAAAAGATGTAAGCTTTGTTTCCACTTTTCTTGTTGCGAGTTGGTTCCCATCCCCTCGTTTCTGTACGTTTCGAACTTCGAAGTCAGTGTCCTGCGTCTGAAGATCCCTAATGATCTCCGGCCAGGATGGAGTGGATCGAGTGAAGTCAAATGGAGAGAGATTTCGTTGCGCGGTTTAGATGCCAAAGGACTCAGCCACAGTGGGGTAATGCCAAATAACATAAACGAAAATATGATCCCTACCAAGGGTAACACCAAGCCACTAAACTATACCCAGTATACTTTGTGGTATCGCTCCACAAGACAATGTCGGTTTAGATATGCCCAGTCGTTTATTGAATCTTGGCGGCGCCCCCTTCCATGCCACTTAACTAGGTCATCGCTAAATATTGCTAGGTGGAACTTGGCAAGGAATTAAACGAAACATAATCTTGTATTGCAATTCTAGATCTGTTGCGGCCGAAGTGTTGCCAAAAGTGAGCCAAAAGTGACTTCACCTGCGATTAATAACTAACTGCCCTGAAATTAGTTCACCTATCATTCGCCATCTGTAACAATCTTATTTTCAATTGCTACGTTAGGAAGGCCGCACCCTTCTTTACACAAGGTAGCATATTAAGAACAGGAGGAATAAGCCGGAAATCCACTAGGAGTTGTTCTCTAACTTAGTATCTTAGTAACTTTGTAACCTAGGTTGGTATATTCTTCTTCTATAGCGTTAGCTTTAGCAATATGTTATAATCTAAAAAAAAGAATCTATTTAGAACGCCTTATAGAAGCTTATAGAAATAGTAACTAGCTAATAGACTAGTATGAACACAGCGTAGTGCTGCGAAGCTAGCAAGCACTTAATGTAATAGTTACGCCTAGAACTATTGCTTCCAACGCTAACAACTATTACTTATAATAATTACAACTATTAAAGTAATTAGTAAGAATATACATAGTAGATCAAAGTTCTTCTATAGAACTTCTATGTTTAACCTTATTTAGTCTCTTAACTACAAGTGTAACGATTCGCTTGAATCGTTCCATTCTAAGTTACCTCCCGAACCTTATATCCAAAGGTTCCTCGTATCTGCCCCGACCCTGCCCCGCCCCCTGCGCTACCCCTATCTCCAAGTATTTAGCTGCATCTCTCCCCTTAGCTAGCTCAGTAGTTGTAAGGCCGGGATGGCGCTTACGTGTAAGGCCGAGATGGTGCTTACGTGCGACGGGTATATATACTATTCTGTACGCAATAATCAACTGTTGGTTGATTATTCGCACCTTTTTGGTTGTATTGGCGTAGTGGTACAGAGCTCCGTCCTTACAGTAGTTTTCTGATATCTTTTGTACAAGGCCTAGAGGTGTTAATGGAATTCCCAGGTTTCCGAGTCCCCACGCACTCTCATATGCCTCTGGGTGGATTCACACCGCATTCGGACCTGTTGTCTTGCCTGTCCGTTACAACAAGCTTAATGCATTAGTTATCTTTTTATACTTTGCTAGATTAACTATCTAATACTATCTTAGTATTTCTCTACTTTTGTGCCGCCTGTTAGACATCTTTCTAGAGAACTAACATAAGCTCTCTAGCTGCACTAGCTTAGACCTACTAAAGGTCTTAGACTATAAAGTTTACACAAGCGGTTAGAGTTTTTAACATAATGCTTTTTCAAAGCTAATTACTATATTATAACACATAGATTTAAATTTGCTAATCTAATTAATTTCTAAGAATAAACTTTATACATCTAGCTAAAGCCTTAGATAACATATTAAAAAATAATACTAATAACACTAAGCTAGTAGATAAAGTAGATAAGTAATTCTTTACTAAGTATAGACAAGTGTATAGTTAGATTAAACTAGAGAGACGTTTAAAGCAATATCTAGGACAACGCTCCCAATCGAACGTAGTGAGTCGAATCGTAGCACTTTTCCAGTTGCTCCTTCTCAGTTTGTTAGTACGTTTGTACAGCTGGAGAGAAGGGAGTCCCTAGTACGCTGCTAAGTTAAAATGTACTAAAATTCTTATACTTTTTGCTGTTTTAACTTACTTATAATTGTAACTTTTTACAATATTATAATTAGCTGCTTTTAGATAAGGTTTGCTAGCTTAATTAGGTCTAATTAGACTACCTGACAAGAGAGCTAGTTCTTCTGCAGTTAAAGCGCTTTAATAGTAGCCCTAGAGAGAGAACCTCTATTAATTGTAACTGTACGTCTGCCTCCACTAAAGGCTCTCTCGCAGTCGCAGCTTGTACTTAGGATACTAAGGAAATTAATAGCAATTTTAAACAGCGTGGGATATTGTTTCTAACTAATTTTAAGCTACTAAGTAAGAGGACTAGCTTACAAGAGATAGCTCTCCTTGCCCTTAGCTTCTTATAAGTCTTCCACATGCGCGTTAAAGTACTGCTAGAGCTCTGTTGTTTTACAAGCTTTCTTAAAACTCTAGGCCCTAGTAAAAAGAGAGGTGTTAACTATAAGTGCCTTTTAATATTAAGAATCCTAAGTGTTTGCTAGAAGCTTCTGCTAAGAGAGATCTATATTAACTTCTTTCTTTTCCTTAGTATTTACATAACGCTAGAAAATAGTCCTTATTAAGCTCTCTACTTTTCTATACTAGGATTAATAATAACGCTAATAATTTTTAAACTAGAGTACACAAAGTTGTAGGTTAAGAATAGTAGTAATTATAAAATATAAGACAGGCAGATTAAGAACAATTTTTTAGAAATATGTATTAATTTTTTTAAGGCTAAAAGAGACGCTGTTTTTAAAGTATAAGTTATTAAGCTTAAAAAAAAGTTTCTCCTTTATCTATAATAACTTAGTATATAATACTTACATGTTAATAATAGACATCTATAGAGAACTATGCTTACTATTACCCTTAAGGCGTTTTATTATCTAATAAAAGACCTTAAGAAAGTTAGTAAGACACTTAACCTCCTTTTAATTTTTTTTACTAATAATCTTTTAAAGAGCTGTGTTGCTAGGTATGTTAGAGTTCTTAAAGTTATTATCTGTGCCACGCTATCTCTAGATAAACTTAGTAATAGGATCCTTAAGCTTAAAGCAGCGCACAAGCATAAGATAAATAGAATGCTAGTAAACGCCTTTATCTTGTATTAAATTAAGCGTGCTAAAGTTCTAGAGCAGGTCCTTATCCCCTAGAGTTGTTTAGATAGTTATAAAGGCCTCCTGGCGTTTGTGTAATAAAAGGACAGTGTTAACAAAGTTGTAGAGCTTGCTAACAACCCTATGCTTATAATAGAGCTTAAATTAATCCTAGGGAGCTACCTTTACAAGAGCAGCTTTAAACTGCAATAATCCTTTACTATAGATAACTGCCTTTAGCACTAACTGTATTATATAGCCTGTATAGCGTATACAGTGCTCTCTATTAAGCTTAACACTAAGATGTTTACTTAAACTAGTAAGTGTAGATTTATTGTTGTTAGACACGTTGTTAGCAACAAAGCAGCTAAATTTTAACGCAATTTTGTATTTATGTATAATTATAGAGATAGCCTGCGCTTAGTTAGCCCCTATATAATCCCTAAAAAAATTATAGAAGCTAATAAGTAAGTCTTATTAGCAGTAATTAGCATCTATAAGGTAGAAGTTAGTTGTGTTAATTTACTGCTAAGGCGCTAAACTAAAATAGCGCCTCTAAAGTTCTACTATACATACTAAAAAAATAAGCTATAACTCTAAAAAAGAAAAGGTAGTTTAGAGAAGTCTATATATTAACACTTAACACTACTTTTAACTTAGCTAACCTTAATATTATTTAAATCTTCTCTTTCCTGCGTGTTAAACACTAGTTTATATGTGTTAATACAGTTGTTTCTAATATAAGGAGGGTGTTAAGAAGATCTAGTTAATTCTAGGTAAGGAGCCCTTAGAGCTTAGCTAAGGATGCCACTGCAAATAATATATTATAAAGTATTACCTAGTCTACCAACGCTCCCTGCAACAACTCCTCCTGCCACAGATTGTAAGAGACTACCTGCGCTAAGCCTACTATTGTAGCAGCTGTTGCTGCCTAAGGATCTAATAGAGCGCGCAGAGAATTAGGTAAGAGAGTCCTACTGCTACTAATGTTAATTTAGTGCTCCTTAGAGAGATAGCTAATAATATAGTAATAGCTAAAGACAACTCTAGCAGCAGAGTAATTGCCTCTGCTGTGGCAGAATTAGCAGAGCCACAGCTTTACTATCATGTCCCCTCCAGTATACAGCAAGTCAGCTCTGTGGTTCTATACTACTAACAGCTTCTTATTACCTTAGACCTGTAAAACGTGCTTTACGCAATACCCTAGGCTTTCTAGCCTTAGCTTCTTCTTATTTAGCTAAATATTTATCTACTTAATAGGAAATACAACTTTGTAATTAAAGACAAGATTACTAGGGTGCTTCTTTACATAGAAGCAACGCTCTCAACCGAACGAAACGAAACGAAACGTAGTAATCAACGGACGTCAACGTCTTACTTTCCTGCTACGTTTGTACAGCCTAGGCGACTTAGCTGTCTGTTTTGCTGCTAAACTAAAACACACTAAAATTCTTATACTTTTTAACATTTTATCTTACTTGCTGCTGTTAATGTTTTATAGTATAGTAACTAGCTACTTCTAAATAAGGTTTATAAGCTTAATTAAGTTACTTTTTATAACTTAATAATATAGCTAATTCTTCTGCAATTAAAGCGCCTTAATAGTAGCCTTAGAAAGAGAACCTCTATTAATTATAACTATACGCCAGCCTCTACTAAAGGCTCTCTCGCAGTTGCAGCTAGTAAAGGGTATAGCAAGGAAGTTAAGAGCAATTTTAAATAGTGTAGGATACTATTTTTAACCTACTTTAAGCTACTAAGTAAGAGGGCTAGCTTATAAAAAATAGCTATCTTTTACCTTAGTGTCTTAAAAGTTTTTTATATAAGCATTAAAGTATTACTATAACTTTATTATTTTCTAAGCTTTCTTATAACTCTAGGCTCTAGTAAGAAAAAAAGTGTTAACTATAAAAGCTTTTTAGTAATAAGAGTTATAAAAGCTTGTTACTAGAAGCTTCTACTAAAAAGAATCTATATTAACTTCTTTATCTTCTTTAGCATTAATATAATGCTAGAAAACAACTTTTATTAAAGTCTCTGCCTTCTAGTACTAGAATTAGTAATAACGCTAGTAGTTCTTAAACTAGAGTATACAAAGTTATAAGTTAAGTATAGTAGTAATTACTAAGTAAAAGATAAAAAAATTAATAACTATTTTTTAAAAATATATGTTAATTTTTTTAAGTCTAAAAAAAACACTATTTTTAAAGTAACTATTATTAAGCTTAAAGAAAAGTTTTTTTTTTATTTATAACAGCTTATTATACAGCACTTACATATTAATAATAGACATTTATAGAGAACTATGCTTACTGTTGCCCTCTAGCTATTTTATTATTTAATAAAAAACTTTAAAAAACTTAGTAAAGTATTTAACTTTTTTTTAGTTTTTTTTACTAATAATCTTTTAAAAAGCTGCGTTGCTAGGTATGTTAGAGTTTTTAGTGTTATTATCTATGCTGCGCTACTTTTAGATAAACTTAGTAATTAGATTCTTAAGCTTTAGGCACTGTACAAGCATTAGATATATAGAATGCTAGCAGACGCTACTGTCTTGTATTAAATTAAGTGTGCTAAAGCTCTAGAGCTTGTCCTCTTCCTCTAAAGATAATTATATAGCTATAAAAGCTTTCTAGTGTTTATATAATAAAAAAATAGTATTAACAAAGTTATATAGCTTACTAATAACTTTATGTTTATAATAAAGCTTAAACTAATTTTAAGAAGCTGTGTTTATAAAAGTAGCTTTAAATTATAATAATTCTTTACTATAAATAACTGCCTTTAGCACTAATTAAATTATGTAGCCTGTATAGTGTATATAGTGCTCTTTATTAAGGTTAACTCTAAGATATTTAGCTAAAGCGTTAATAGTAGAGTTATTATTATTAGACATATTATAGTAATAAAATAACTAAATTTTAATATAATTTTATAATCCTAAATAATTTTAAAGATAGCCTACGCTTAGTTAGCCTCTATATAGTTACTATAAAAGTTGTAAAAGCTAATAAGTAAGTTTTATTATTAATAATTAACATTTATAAAGTAAAAGTTAGTTATTATTTATTATTAGTTTTCTAAGCTAAGACGCTAAAATAGCCTTTTTAAAGTTTTACTAAACTTACTAAGAAAGTAAGCTACTACTCTAAGAAAAAAAAGGTAGTTTAGTAAAGTCTATATATTAACACTTAACACTACTTTTAACTTAGCTAATTTTAATATTATTTAAATTTCCTTCTTCTAGCGCGTTAACCTTTACTTTATATATAATAATATTATTATATTTAAGCTTAGAATAGCAGTAAGAAGATCTAGTTAGTTTTAGGTAAAAAAGCCTTAAAGTTTAGCTAAGAATGCTATTATAAATAATATATTATAAAGTATAACCTAGTCTACTAACAACCTTTATAACAACCTCTCTTGCTAGGGATTATAAGAAGCAACTTAGGCTAAGCCTACTACTATAGCAGCTATTGCTGCCTAAGAATTAAGTAGAGTATAAAAAAAATTAAGTAAAAAACTTTTATTACTACTAATATTAATTTTATGCTTTTTTTTAAGATAGTAGCTAATATAGCTATAGCTGTTAACTATTTTAGTAGTAGTGTAATTACCTCTATAATAGCAAAGTTAGCAGAGCTAGAGCTTTACCCTTAAGCTTTTTCTAGTGTATAGTAAGTTAGCTTTATAGTTCTACACTGCTAACACCTTTTTATTACCTTAGAGCTAAGAAAAGTGTTTTACATAGTAACTTAGCTTCTTTACCTTTAGCTTTTTACTAGTAAGCTATATATTATTTTACTTTATTAAAAACATAACTTCTAGATTAAAAAAAAAATCTCTAAAGTGTTTTTTTATATAAGAATTATATATAAAAGCTAGAGAGCTATTATAAAATAAGAACTTTAATAATAATAATTATAACTTCTTTAGGTAATAGAAATAAGTGTAATAAATTATGTTACTACTCTAGGTTAACTAAGAGCTCTAAGAGCTCTACAACTAGCTAGTGCTCTATGTAGAAGCTTATTAACTAAGAAAATTGCACATAGTTAATATAATATTAAGATATAAAAAGATTTAGTAGTGTTAATTTAGGTAAAAAACACTGCACTTAGGTTATTAAGTAATTTTACCCCCTAATTAATAACTAGCTTATTAAAAAACTTGTCTAACAGTGCTATAGGTCTCTACCTATTAATGTCTAAGCTAATAGGTAATCCCTACTTAAAAGTTAAGCTTTTAAGACGCAGTACAGTCTACAGCTATAACTTACAAGACAAAACAAAACGTACAAGGACTATACTACGTTTGCTACGGCTCACGTGACAGTACTGAGACGAAAAGTATGAAACGTAATTCGTACAGTTGAGAGCGTTGCATAGAAGTTAAGAGCTAGAGCTAGAGAGCTATTGCAGGAGGACTTAGATAATAATAATTACGCCTTTTCTAGTTAATAAGACTAAGCGTAGTGCGTTACCTTATTATTAAGGCTAGATTAAGAGCTCTAGGTTTAGCTGCTCTAAGTAGAGACTTATCTATAAAGGAAGCTTTGCAGGGACATAGCAATATAAGGATAAGATTAAGGTATGTTAATTTAGGTAAGAACTGCTGCCCCTAGGGCACTAGGTAATCTCCCTTTGTAATCTCCCCCTAATCAACAACTAACTTATTAAAAAACGCGTCTAGTGGTGCCACAGTTCCCTGCCTATCTATGACAAAGCTAATAGGCAAATCCCTCACAAAAATTAAGCTTTTGAGGCGTACTACGGCCAGGACTTATGCCTAGCGAGACGAATCAAATTGTATATGACTATACTACGTTTGCTACTGCTCACGTGATCGTACTGAGTCGAAAAGGACTGAAAGTAGTACGTTCGATTGGGAGCGTTGATCTAGGATAATAACTGTAGCCTTACACAAGCACAAGTTAAAACACGAGTTGTGTACTAAAGACTAAGAGTTCTAAAGCGCGATGTGTTTTATATATTATTGCAGGACTCCAAGCTTAAGGTTGATTAGACAACTCATTGTAGAGCCCACCGGCCTACAGATAACATGGTTTCACCATGAATTAGTTCTATCCTTGACCACCTAGCCAGCAGATACGATAGCCTAAACGACAATGTCTCCTACCTCCTTCTTCTTCTTTAGCTTATCTCTAGTTTAGGGAATGTTTTGATCTTTATGGATATTTAAAAACTCGCAGCTACTGCAACGTCTCACTTCAGGTGGATCATAGCAGGAGTAATTTAAGGCAGGAGTTTCTGTGCTGTTGAGGTTCTTTTACTAACAACAGGCTTAACTAGTCAAATCCGTCTTACTAATGTCCCACGTTAAGTGGGGGATATGCTGCGCTTTTCCGCCGCTAGCGATTGTATTGCGGACTTGTTATCCTCAACCTCGGTAGATTGGCGCATAAATGTTTGTAATAGGCCATACTACTGTCACAATCTTCAAGATGACTCCTCTGAAGTCTCCGAAATTTCTCGTGGACTTAATCCCCCCGATTCTCCGCTCCTTTACAGGAGCCCTCTCATTGCGGCTGGCAATTCAGCATTTTGCCTCTCCAATTCGTCATGGCCAATCTAGTACCAGTACACCGACCCATTCAAGCGCCTTCAAATATCCCATCAACCTTAAACCACGAGGTCGACTCCCCCTCTCCGAATGGGCCAGCACCACCTTCCACGAGAGCCTTCGAAAAGAAGGACTTAGGAATGGACGATTTCGAGATCTCCCGTAGCCTTTCAGACACACAGGAAGTGAGAAAGACTAAGCTCCAGACATTACTCCAGGCCCTCAAGTGGTTTATCCAAGACCAGTGGTTCTTGCTCGGGATGGGATTCGTGATCCTCGTCTCTTCCCAGGTCCAGGTCCCCGACTCGCAACAGCGCTTAAAACGAACTATCGTAACATACCTCGCCGTATCCGTCATCTTCTTCATAAATGGATGCACGGTGTCGACTCGTGTTCTGTTCGACAACTACAAGCGATGGAAGGTTCACGCTTCAGTCCAGCTCCAATGCTACCTGATGACTTCGGCGGCTACTTTTGGAATAGTCACCATCTGTGCAACAAACCCAAGGTTTATGGATCCATGGTTACTCATTGGCCTCCTTTTTGTCGGCTCTGCTCCTACCACCATGTCATCTAATGTTGTCATGACACGCCAAGCTCATGGCAATGCTGCACTCACCGTGGTCCAGTCTGTTATCGGTCAATTCCTGTGTCCTTTCCTCACTCCAATCCTTCTCCAAATGTATCTGTCTAGCGGAGCATGGTATACAAAGGTCCTGGTCAACGGAAACAACTACGGGGAGATTTATCAGCGTGTGTTTAAACAGCTCGGACTCTCACTTTTTATCCCCATGTTCGTTGGCCAAATCGTCCAGAACCTCTTTCCGGATATTACAAAAACTGTCTTCATCAGATGGAAGCTAATGAAGCTATCGTCCGTGGCCCTTCTTACATTAGTCTGGCAGACCTTTGACCAAGCTTTTCACTCTGGTGCCTTTGCTACCGTCAAGCCCTCCAACATCGTTTTCCTCATCTTCATCTCCTTTTCTCTATACTTTGTCTGGCTTGGAATATGTTTCATAACCTCTATCATTTGGCTTCCAAAAAAGGATGTTATTGCTGTGTGCTACTGTTGTCCGGCGAAAGCTCTTGCAATGGTTGTCCCTGTAAGTTCAGTCATGTATCTAAGTATCAGCCCAGTCAACCAGAGCAAGCTTCAAATCCCAGCGGTCCTCTACCAAGCGCTCCAGGTCACCATTGGAAGTGTCTTAACGCTTATCTTCCGCAAGTGGATCCGGCCGGAAGAAGAGAAGGAAGATCAAGAGAAGAGTTCGGGTGGCGAGTAGGGGCTTGAAAGAAGCCACCGAGGCTCGAAAGTAGTGATCTGTCCAGTCAATGACAGCTGGAAACACTACCAGAACACTCGAGGTCGATGTACAGTTAACGCAAAACTCCACTCTCGAATTGCGCTTTCTTCACTCTAGTCCAAAAGCCGTAACCAATTCTCACAATGCCTTAACAAGCTCCAATTTACTCCCACTCTATCGTACACCTGTATGAGCAGTGCTCGAGCAGCCACCAATTTGCACATTAATTCTTCCCAACTAGAACCCCACTTCCTATTCCCACCCCGATTGTCTTCGACCGCCAATACGAGAGCCGAGTGTCTGCTCTTGCGCTATGCTATTTCCGGCTTCTCTTTTCTCCCTTTATGTACAACAACATCCATTTGGAATCTTTCATCATAATTAGCATCAGATTTACACTTGGGGGTACAATAGGAATCCACTAACGCAAGTACAAATGTAATTTTTAAAATCCCTGGAGCATGGACATTCGGTGCATGGAGCGAGTAGGTCGTTGCCAGCTGCATCTCTTATTGTTTTCGTCGCACGTTCTAGGCTAGTCTAAATCGACCGGATCAACACTTTACTCGGAGGGGATTGGAAATCACGATGGCGAGAGCATACCGCTGTGGGAGCTGCTGTGGCGACTGAAGCAACGATGACGAGGATGAGGGCTGAGATCTTCATCTTGCCTTCGATTCAACGTGTTCAGTTGAGCTCGTTCTGTGTTCTGCGCGACGACAATTATTGACCAAAAAATATCGAATCCTATGCGAAGGCGAGTTGTAAAGAAGCGAACCACGTCCTCCTTAAAAGCAGAGAATATCTCTGTTCATCAACCTATATATATCGCCTCACAACCAGGGCCCATTACATCCATGTGAGATCCAAGGTCCGGTTCCCCGCCCTCGTGGCAGAATAATTTGATAATTGTGGCAAGCTATCTGGGTTTCTCCGTTTCCTACATATTTTGGTGTTCCGGAACCCCAATATCCTGGTCAGTTCAATGAGAGATGGTGTAGGGGTGGTGTGGTTTTCAGGGATTGGGCGAGGTCCGGGTAAATCCAAGTCGCTTTGATCCATGGGTAAGTTTCTTGTCAATTGCTAATATAGATTGAGTGTTTCCTTTGCCTTCCTGATTTTTGCATAGCGGGGCTTGGATTGGCTTGAAGGGTAATGTTGCCATTTGTTCTCATGCTCTCGCCCATTATTTGTATTTTCTTGGTCTCTTACTCACACAGTTATCCAGGTTGCCTGTTGGAGAGGGATTGGGAGACTGGTTTGAAGGATTAAGGATTGGCTTGGCCGAATTTGCGAAGGAAGTCCCTGGTTTCTAGACCACTGATGGACGCAGGGTTATCTGTCGGGTTATCTACAGCTTCCTCACTTGGCATATGGTAGTACTGTCAACTTTCCCTCGTATTTTTTTAACTCATTCTCAATACAGACTTGCCTGTATTCCGTACGTACCCCTCTTTCACTCCTTTCTCCGCTCATACCCTGAAATCTCGCCTCAAGTCCAGAGTACCTCGAGACCATTTTCCCCAGATCCTACCGCCCAATAATCACGCCGTTTACCCAGTTCCATAGTGTGTGTATATACACACGAGCTCGGTAGTCCACATACTGTACATTCCATTTCTCGATCCTCTAGATCGCCCTGATCGGGCATACGAGACACAGCAAATGTGTCCGGGCAATCTATGCATTTCTTCAAACTAGTGCCAAGTATGCCCAAAACGAGGCCATCAACTACCGCAAAGCTTAGCCTCCTCGGCTCTGGAGATATGGATGTTGGCTGCTATGCGCATGCTGTCACCCTCCAGTTCGGTTGCAGAGTCAAGGTGAGTTATGCTTCCGCGGAGGAGCGACTTCGTGGTGCACTTGATCCACTGCAACTATGAGGCTGGACCAGACGCGCTCTGCATATGTTAGCTGTTTTAGGTTCCAAAAATGATGATCCATCGTCTTACACCTACTTTCACTAATACACCACCAAGATTCGGCGCATATCTATTGGGATGCCAAGTTTGGCTCTGTGCTAACTAAGGTCCAGTCCCTGATTAGATGATCTATAGTTAAGATACACTGGATGACCTTATCCCATTCTCATGATCTCAACCTAGCGCCAGCTTGAAATTCCCTAAAAATCCCCCAAGCTAATAACCACAAACCCCTAACGAGATCTCTTATGCTAAACTTATAGGGAATCTTGCTAAACAAGTAAAGGGGCTGTAATTTCCTCAACTCTCTCGCAAACAATTCAAGAACGAGAAACGCCCGATGTCAACCAGCCCAAAACCCGAATCCAGTTAGTGTATCTACCACGGCAACCGGACTCTTTTCTCACATCACTCGTTTTTCATGTCCTTGAGAATCCCATCTACTCCAGCAAACGCAAATTCTAACATTGTCTCATCCCAGAGCCTATCCATAATCACCTTTCCTTCCTCCGTATACACCATCTCATTAAACCTACGCATCGCGCAACAAGTTAGCTAACAATGTCTAGTACAAAGGCGTCTCAAAATCAACTAACAAAAAACCTGATCACTTACGGCAAAACCCCCCAATTCATCAAAAAACACCCATGACTCTCCTTCCCCTTCACCGCCACTGCATCCACATGCGTCCACGCCCCGTCCTGCACCCTTCTCCCAGTCAATCCTGCAAAAATCCCAACCGCCACACGCATCGTCCCTTTTGCGTCACGCTGCAGATTCGAGCCTTTGATGAAACCCGGCTCCACCATATTCATGACTACATCATCCGCAGACACATATTCGGCCAGCCTGGGGAAGAATAAATGCCCGAGTGCTTTGGACACAGCGTAGCGCTCTTGCGGATCCCAGGGCGTGATTTTCTCGTCGTCGAAGGAAGCGAGGAGGGGGACTTGGGTGCGGTTTGGGAATTTCGCCCAATACCCCATAGCCGAGTTTATCAGTGTCAAATGACCTGGTTTTCCGGCGGGTGATTTGTTCTTCAGTGCTGGGAGCAGTAGGATGGAGAGGAGGAAGGTGGAAAGGTAGTTTGTTTGAATACTTTCTTCGTGGCCGGTGCTGGGGTTGAGAGTGAATTTTAGTCTCCCAACTCCCGCGTTCAGGATCGCAATATCAAGTCTTTCCAACTCGGACTCCACTCTGCGCACAAAGTCGCGGATTGAGTCATACGAACTCATATCCAGTTCCCACACCTCAATCTTCCCGGTGTATTGCTTCCTTAACTCATTCGCGGCGGTCTCTCCCTTACTCTTTGATCGTACTGCAATGATTAATCGAGAGAGATTTAATGAAAGAAGGTGTTTACAGGCGTAGAACCCGAGACCCGTGTTGCTACCTGTGACTATCGCGGTCTGGCCGGTTAGAGAGGTGGAGGGTGGGACTGGGGGTGAAGGGACTTTGGTCTTGAATTGGGATTTGTAGAAGAGATCCCAGCGAGAAATGGATAGCGGGCCCATTTGCATGGATTTTGAGGGGCCCATTGTAGTAGTGGATGAGAGTGAGTGGAGGGCAAAGGAGATGACGGGTCGTTTAGGTGAGGAGAAAGTTTAGGGAAGCCGATGCGTTTGTACACCCGCGGCCGCTTTAAAGAAGTTAGAAGGAACGGTATCAAATCCCAGCGTATAAGAACTCAGCAAGTAAAAACAAGTAAAAGGCTTCAAGCAAGCCCGGTCAGCGTGCAATCTAGTACATCTCCCTCCCTTCCAAGGTTTATATCCTCCCTCTCACCCTTCATCCATTCGGACAAACTCCAAGTCACCATCCGACCCTCCGCCATCTTCTGTTGCAATATTCGTCCGATATGCTATGTCATGGAGTTAAGGCATCTCCATCACCTGAAAAAAGAATCCATCTGACAGCCACTGGTACATGCCCCCTTCACAGGCGCTAAACTATTTGCGGTATGCATTTCGACGCCTTCCCGTATGCGGGATCCCTGCGCCAATCCTCAATTCCAGCCACCTACCAAGACCCTCAGACTTACCAAGACGGGCCGGCATGAAGCATGTTTAGTCCGCGCAAGCACGCGTTCCTCTCGTTGCCTGATTTCTGATCAGGTCCGGCCTTGAGCATAACACATTCGAAGGAAGTTTGCTTGCCGGAAAGCTTTCATTCACAAGGCATGCAAGGCATTGTAAAACGAAATCTTGTCACCCAGGGTAGAACATGCATGGCCAGGGGGACAGTTCAGAACGGATTTGCACTGCGTTATTCACCTCTCTAGTTATAGCAAGATGTTTATTTATCAGACTCACTCTACCTTGGTCATTTTCTACGTTGGTTGGGTGTAGTGCAACAATACTAGCTTATAGCAAGTAGGTGCCTCATTGTTCAACCGGCGTCAATTAAGTGTCTTTGTGTGCATGTATAGCAATGAGACTTTTATTACTCAGACGCTCCTAGCGCCTAGCTGCCATCTGTGATCTGTACCCGTCCATCCATGCACGTCCAAACCAATTTCCCGCCCACAAGCAAGTGGGTGGGCGAAATATCCATCAACCAATCTTACAAAGTCCATATAGCTATCCAGCCTGAGGAACAGGAAGCCAAGGTGAGGTGAAAATCAGAAAATGACTCTGATGCTACACAATCCTCTCTGCTCTGCTTTCTCGCAAAGAGTGAAGCATTAATCAGTCATCGCCATAGTCCCCTCCCATCATTTCCCCTCATCAACGTTTCCTCTTCTTCCCCCTGTCATCATCATCATTCAATCCCCCCTCTCTATCTTTCCTCGCCGCCTTCTTCTCCAGCTCATCCCAATCCTCGCCTTCCTCACTCAACTCATCGTCACTCCCCTCGGCACTCATCTCATCGCTTGCATTCTCATCGAAATCACTGCCAGACCCAGAACTTTCATCCGAGATAGCAAGCTCCGAGTCACTAACCTCAAACGCGCTTTCCTCTTCCTCCTGCTCGTCATCCTCGTCGTCAGATTCCGTGGACAAGAACGACCATCCACCGTCGACGAAGAATTGGTGGGGGTCCGAGGTAACGGTTTTCATGATGGTGGCCCAGTTGAGATTGAGCGGACCTTCGGAGAAGGGAATGTCGACGCTGTCGAGCCAGTCTTTGACTGGGTCAAGAGACTCGACGGGGATGGTGTTGATGTGTACCGGAGGGCGGTTGTAGTCTTTGAATACGACCACCATGTCGAAGTTGCGTAGGCCGAATTGGACACGTTCTAGGTGGACGATTTCGATCTCGGCGAGGGTCAGACATGTGAATGGTGGCTCAGTAAGTTGTACTAAGCAGTCTGTGGTGGGCTGAACGAGCACAGATGATCTGGAAGGAACACCATTGAAACCGAGCTCTCGGTAGGGAATATCCACCGACACATTTTCGTTGCGCGCTGCGTCCGCGATTTTCTCAGCAAAGTTCTTGAACTCTTTATCGAGAGCGGCGCGTCGTCGTCGCTCTTCTTGTTCCTGCTCGAACTCTTCTTCGTCACCAAATTTGTGTCGTCGTTTCCGGTTACCCGTCTCGTCAAACTGCATCTCAGTAGCTTCGCGAACAAACTGAACGTCCTTGGCCTTCTTCTTTCCAATCATGATTGGATTTTTGAGGTGGACATGAATGATGACAATCAGTTCGTGTTGCGAAGGCTGGAAAAAAAGGTGCTTGATGTTGCCGAAAAGGATATCGATCCTAAAGCCGCCAGCACCATGAACGTAGCGGAGACCGTTTTGGTGGACTTCGACTTGACCGGGAATGCGTTTGCCGTCCATGGCGGGTCGCATAAAGATCATGTCAAGGATGTATGGTTTTCGGTCTAATAATGTAATCAGCATTTTGGAGTTCGAGCGCAAGACGTATCAACTCACTCTTTATAGGTATGAGCTTGTCTTGCTCTACCACGTCCTCCATCTGCTTCTTCTCCTGCTCCCGACGGACGACGTCCTTTTTGAGATCGGTGATATCCTTAGTGATTCTATCAATACGATCCACGTCATGGGAGCGAAATGTCAAGCTTCGAATAAAGTGTGCATTAGGGTCTTCAAACGGCTGGTCGTCTTTCCTACCCACTCCCTGACCGGGCGAGAGGAAATTGATACGCAGAGAGGTAAAATCGCTCTCGGGAGTGTGTGAGGCGTTCTTGATGGTGTTAATGTGGAAAGGCACCGGACGGCCCATAATGGGGAGAATGACTGTCTGGAGCTTCTTGTCCACAACAATCTCTAGATTGGCAACCGCAACAGGCAGCTGGTTGTCGCGCTTGTACGATTCAAATCGCTTGAACTTCTTCTCCTCGGTTCCGTTCAGAGACTTTGCACCCTTGCCGTACGTTTCTAGGCCGTCTGCCTGCTTCTTCTGATGAAGCTCTTTCTGATGCTCTCGGCGCTGCGCTTCCTTCTCCGCATCTTGATTTGTCGGCCGCTCATGTCGGGTTCGCGTCTTGGTGGCGTTTGTCTGTGCAACCGCGCCAGGACGTTCTCGCTTCGGTTTCGGCTTAGTCTCAGGCTCTTCCTCGTCGTTAAAGAAGAATGAGACTGAGTCCAGATCGGACGGGGTATCTTTAGTGAATACGGCGGCATCAGTGGGTGTCACACGAACCGTGTCGATCAAGAGAAGTGAATAAGCAGCACTCTTCTTGTCCTGTGGGTTCGGGTTCTTGAGGTCCTGCAGCCCAGTTTGAACAACGAGCGTCATGCCATCCTTTAGCACCCGCTGGTTTTTGGCACTCAGCAGCAGGGTTGGGTCCTTGTTCTCAACACCAATACCGTAGCCAACGTTTCTCATGGTAAAATTCTTCTCTAAATCGGGTTTCTTTGATTTGAGCAGGCTCAGGGCCTTGTTGAAAACGTCCTTAGCCACGACGCCATCCTTTATCGATTTAAGGACCAAATCATGCATGGATAGGAGAAGCTTGTAGTTGCTCTCCTGGCTCTTGTTTGGGCCAACCATGTACGTCCGGCCAACCATGCAGCCGTATGTCTGGTAGCGCAGGCCTAGGGCTGATATGATGACCCCGGCGTGCAGGTTGCTCTCGTCCGGATCTGATTGAAAGCGCAGGTCGTATTTTCCGCCGCTCTGCACGATGGGCTGTAGGCACCAGTCCAGCTGCATGGGGTCAAAATTCTTCGACACCTTTTCCTTCTGGAAAAACTTGGGGTCGTCGATTTTGTTGCCAACTTTTTCCGAAAACGCACGATGAGTAATTTTCTCCTCCGTATCAAGGATTTCGGACATTTCTTCGACAAAGTAGCTGGTCATGAGGGCACTGGAGGCTCGGGAGGCGTCTCGGATGATACGCTTGTACATGTCAGCAATGCAAGCCGAGCGATGCTGAAGTCTCCAAACTCACCAGCTCCTTCTCGTCCTTGACTGACAAAGCAGCATTGGACAAGATGCCCGCCAGATCGACCTGATCCTCCTCCTTGATGTCTGAGGCCTGAAATGCTGCCTTCCATTCCTCGGCGAAGGGGCCGGCGGCGTTGTCCTTTTTCATCACTGCGACTTTCTTCTAAGCCGTGTTAGGACATGTTTTATCTCGCTGTTGCCATTGTGACTCACGCCTGCCTTCTTCATGGACTCTATGCAGCTCTGAAACTGCTTCTTGTTCTCTTCGGCATCCTTGCCACGGACCAGGATCTCGACGGGAACCTTACCCCCTTTGAGCGGTGCCAGGTACGAAGCTGGGAAGCCGGCCAACATTAGCATTCAACCGTCATAGTAGTGAGTGTGGCCGACGTACCCTTCTTCTTGGTTGTGACGATCTGGAAAAGGTCGGGTGTGAGGACGAACAGGGTCGCGGGGAACTCGTAGCCTAGCAGCCATAGCTATACAACCACGGGATCAGCGCCGCATCGTTTCTGCGCATGCAAATGTGAGGGAGAAGGGAGAGAGCTTACCTGGAAGGCGGCCGGCTTAGAATAAGTTCCCGGGTCGCTCGCTTTGCCCACACAGCTCGCGATTGAACCTGCACCGTTGAAAATGGCATCACCCGAGCGCTTGTCTGCCTTCCACTTAGTGACAAAGTTATTGAGACGCTCGTGGAAGACCTGTTTGTCGATGACAATATCGTCAGCCATGGTAGAAGGCAGCGAGAAAAGACAGGCCTTCGGATAGTTGACGCGGCTGAGATGGGAGAAGGTCGGGGGAAGGTGAGATGGAGAAAAGTCGCGAGGTTGACGATGGGAAAGTAAATGACGGCGGAGGAGACGCGATCCGCGCTTTCGCAGAATGGCTTGGCGCCAAGCTCTAACGCGGGCGCTCCCTCTCAATTTCCGCTGCAGAGCGGAAAACTGAAGCGGAAAACGGAAAACGGAAAACGGAAAATGGAAAACGGAAAAGCAGGTGGGTATTGTCGGGTTGTCATTCACTCTTCACCGGTGACCACCGTGACCACAATGACCACCACCCTCCCACGTGCAACCTCACCTTCATTTAGGAGATAGAAAGGACGGCTCTCCCACCTGCAGCAGTGCTCTGCAGGCTTCGACTCCCCCTCCGATGATATGAGATGACTACCGGCTCCAGCATTCGCGCTGGAGTCTCTCCCTCCCCCCGCAATGAGGACCCAGAGACCGCGACCCAGCCAAAGAAGGGCAACGCCGCGACTGGAGTGCAAGCCGCCGGTATACGCGCCATCACGGCTCGAGCTGTAGCTTTCTATTTCCGCGCGCCAGTAAAGGCCTTCTTTCGTGGTCGCATCGACTACCTAGGCTATGCCAGGGCTATCAATCCCCATGTGCAGGCTGAGTTGGGATGGTCATGGAGAATGACGACTCCAGCTCTTCTGGCTCATGCAGTCAGGGCCGAGGGGTGGAGCTTCATTCCGAACCAGGTGCTGCCGCCGCTAATGGCAAATACTTTGTAAGGTCCATGCATATTGCGTCTTGTCACCTAACGTAGTCAAGACTGGGGTAATTCAGGGCAGTGATGTGCACTCTGTTGGCCTTCTCCTTAATTCTAGCGAGAGGGTTAATAGATAGACCCTGCCCTAGTCATGTTCCACGTTGTGTGATAACACGCAGTTAATCTGCACATTTCAAGTCTAACGTTGAGCAGTATCGGCGCGGTGCTCTATACGGCATATCTCCAAAGTCTCTCCTCTCTTCATGCACCTTCTTCGCACCACATTAAACGCTCTTATCCCCCTCCATCCATTTCCACTACCCTCTCCGCAGGCTTCATAGCCGGAGGTGTACAATCGCTCCTGGCCGCCCCCTTCGATGCCCTCCAAGTCCGCTTCCGCACCGCCGACATCCTCGAGGGCAAATATAAGACAATGTGGCACTATGCGGGTCACAAGCTACATTCCATTGGCGTCCGCGGCATTTTCGCGGGCTGGACGCTGAGTTTAGTCAAAGACTCTTTCGGCGCCGCCGTATTTTTCAGCACCTTCGAAACCATCAAAAGCCAGGCCTACTACGAGTTCATAACAAAATACTACGGAAGCCGCACGCGCGACACCTTGCTGGAGTCTGCCGCCCATTACCGCGACGATATGGATGGCCGGCCAGTGATAAAACCTCATTACACCATCGAGCCTGCTTTTCTCCTTCTAGCGGGCATATCTGCTTCTATCACTTCGCAACTGGTCCAACACCCGCTCACTGAATTACAAACCGTGCACTACCGTCGTCTTGAAGCGCTGGACTACCAAGCACACGACGAAAAGAAGCCCAGTCGTATCATGCAGCGGTACTACCATGCATATGAAGAAACTTTCCGACAGTGCAAGAAACTCGCGAAAAGAGCGGGGGGTTGGAGACGCTATCTCTACCGTGATTTCTTCTTGAATACGATTCGGCAGGTACCGAGTACGAGTGCTGGATTGATTGTTTTTGAGCTTGTGAGAAGAAAGTACGCGTTTGAGAATGAGGAAGTTACTATCAGTAAGGAAGGGTTTGAGATTCTGTTGACTTGATGGCGAGAAGGTGAGGAGGGTGTATGATCACTGTTGATGATACCCAGGGCATAGCTTAGAGGATTGTACATATATAGACGCAAGTCCTACATGATCATATTCGGCGCGGATAGGTTACACAGTCGGTGGACTCACTTCAACCTTCTATCAGTGTAATATAGACGCACATTTCCCTCACTCCACCAACTTCAACCTTCTGTCCCTCTCTTTAGGCAGCGTATTATCACCCAACATGGCGCATAATTAGCTAGAGCTCGTGTGTTAAACCCCCTGCTATATTTAGAGTAACTGCTAACAGGATGCTAATTTCTATCCTAAAATCCTACCCCGTCTGTCATGGCCTACATGACGTAGGAAGATGCAGTACATCATCTCTCATCCACCTCTCAAGGAAACCCAACACGTCTATACATAGCCATCCAAGTAACCACCACTCCCTTCCCTCCTCCCCTTTCTCAAATATCAAGCCCAAGAAAATCTTACCACACACCCATCCACAACTAATCCCAACTAGTCACTCCGTCCTCATCCTCTCTCTGGCCCTTGGCCTCAATCTCCCTCCCCACAACACCCAAGGCGCCCTCACCATCCTCCAAAACTCCCACATCCCAACCACCCCCATCAGCCCCACAAGCCCCCAACCTACAGGCTCCACATACGTAAAATGGTTAAGCGCTTCAGGCGTATAACCCGCAGCCGCACCACTCGTGCTCCCGCCAATATCCGCCGCGGCGGTACCGGTGGGAGTTACAGTTCGCTAACAACCCGGGCCAAGTGTCGTGGTCCAAGGTTCCTTTTCAGTTTCTTCCTCTCCTCGTTGGCCAATACGTTGGAGAGGGTAGAGTTTCGGCGTGCAGTGTGGATCCCAGATTCGGAGGGAGGTAGTGTATCGTGTGGCTGTGAGGATGTTTGTTGGTGGTGGGGGTGGGTGGTCTAGGTCTGTGAGTTTGGGGAGGGAGGCATATGTAGCTAGGGGAAGGGCAGAGGAGAGTGTGAATGAAGGGTTTAGCAGTATGGAATTGAGGTTGGGGGTTGGTGGTATGAGTGTGAAGAGGTGGGAAGTGGGGCCCAGTGCGGTTTGTATTAGGTGCGTGGGAGTTGAAATCGGTCGCTGGACCCGAACTGAGGTCACGATTGTAGCGGAGTCGATGGGAGATTCTGTCGACTCCATAGTGAAGTCTATGAGGTCGAGAGATACTTCGGGATTATCTCGACGCTCTTGTTCTTTTCTGGCAATCGCCGCCTCCTTACCCTTCTTAGTTGATACTACCATTCCCACCTCTCGGAACCCTTTACTCCACCGCGCCACTTTATCCTTCTCCCTCCCCCCCTCTGGCTTTACAATCAATGTAGACACTGCTCTGATCTGTAGGTCGGGGATGGTGGCACATTCGACATCAACACCCAAGCGTGAGAGACACGAGCGCACGGGCTCGAGGGAGTTCAAGCTTGTCTGATGAAGGGCGCTGAGATGCTTTCTCTGTGAAAAAGTGGCCAGAATTGTGATACTGGGTGTAGGTGCAAGTATAGCAGGATCGGGTGAAGCGTCAGAGGATGGAGGGGTTGATGGTGGAGGTGAAGAGGATGTCGTTGTGGTCTTATGTTTCAGTGTAAGTGTCTTAGAAGAGTTGTTCGAACTAGTGCTGCGGCTAGGCCTGGCGTTGGTATATGTGATGTCGCTTAGAGGTGGCGTACTTGGAGATGTACTTAAAGTCCTTCTTCTACTACTGGCCATTGTGCTGGTGTTGCCACTTAGAAGTGATGTACTTGAAGGCTCAAGTGGCGTTGACATGGTTATTGTAACCACCGAAACTGCAGATTCCGTTCCAGACGTCATCATCATATCCTTCTCCCCAGTCATAGAGTCACCCGTAATCCCCTCAGTATCCAGCACAAACGAAGGCGGCGTCGTCAAACCTGTCCACGATCTCGTAGCTGGAACAGTAGTAGTAACACCAAATTCCTCACCCACATCCACATCCACAAAGATAAAAGTATCGCAATGCGCCCTCGCGACATCAAACGCCAGCGACAGTGCGAGTTGAGAACCATTAACCAAGCCGCCGAGTTTAACGAAGATTTGGCCAGTGTTACCACTACGTGCGCTCTTCAACATAAACCCCTGGTTTTGGTGTGCTTTCTGGCTTTCGAGACATATGCAGTTCTTTTTCGCTATGCTGTATGTAATCGGCAAAACGACCTCGATACCGTTGTTGAATGAGGTGTGGAGTCCTACTATGATGACGGCATTGGAGAGATCACCGTGGCATATTCCCCAGCTGTGCTGTGAAGATATTGATGGGTTTGAGGTTTGAGTAGTTGTAAGGGATGATTTGGACGCTGGGTTGGGTGGGTTAAATGACTCCAGTGTAAAGGAGGATATTGTTGAAAATTGTAGTATAGAGTTGGATGCCTCTGAAGACTCTTGCACAAAAGTAGATATTGGTGAACTGTCCGGTTCCAATGCGAATGTGGTTGAAGACTGCAGCAGCCACGTAGATGCCGTCGACAACTCTGGCATTGAGGTGGATGCCGCAGACGCCTTTGTCATAAGGTTTGACGAAACGGTGGCAGTGGCAGATATTGAGTTATCCGATTGGATTTCTTTCCTTGACTCCGCGTCCTCGGGTTGAATCATCGCTGGCTCTTCTCCATCCTCCGCATGAGGGAAATCAGTATGAATGACGTAAAGTCCGGGGATCAAAGTCCTGGAAGCGGACACTTTGCTCTTTTGCGCGGGCAGAAGAAATAAGATTGTCACTACGTACGATGTGTTTGGGTAGGATTTTGGAAGCAGCCCCAGAGGGGGGCATGTAGTTCCAGGGAAGGGGGACGTCATGGTTCGTGTTATAGCTGCGAATATCTTAGGGAATGAGGAGCAAAATATTACGCATAGCAAGAATGAGCTTTTAAGACGCATGGTTTGAGAATGGCGATATTTGCGAGGTCAAATGGGCCTGGTCTTACAATTATGAGGGGGTAGGAAATGAGAGAAATATAGTTTATAGGTTGAGGAATGGCAACAGCGCAGGGGATTTCTTGGTCCAAAACTACCTCCCCAGATCCGTGAACAGAGAGTAGTTGGATGTGATGGTGAAGTGCGCTAGGTTATGGCGATGCTTCTTTCTGTGACACGCCAGCTAGACTACTATTTGTGAATACTCAAAGATACAAACAGAAACAAAGATGAAAGGGGAACATTTTCCTATTAATGAACTTCCTAAACTTCTACTGCATCATATTCCTTAATATAGATTATAACAGGAATACATTAGAGAAGAAACTTCCATCCTATTAACAGTCTTCCTAATTTTAGCAAGAGGATTAACAGACAAGCTCCGCTCTAGTCAAATTCTGTACGAAAAAAAGGCAGTGGTGGTTATTGCCATTTCAATTGAGGGCAGTGACCTGTCTTGGTTATTGAAGCAATCTGTGTGTCCTTCAATGCTACATGAAGAGCAGTTATTTGGTCAGACCTACAGCTTTGTCAATAGATGGATATTGTAGGATGTGAAGGAACTCACTTCGGTGTTTCGAACTTCACGTGGCTGGTAATGAATATTTTTGACCCTAGGCATTTTGTGTCCTTAGGTGTTGTCACCAACTTCATACATTTGCTCGTCACCTCCTTCTGGATCTCTGTTCCAATAACATCGTGGTCGAAAATGCGACTAATAGACTCCATTGTCGCAGTGAATCCTCAAGTAATTAGTGCCCACCATGAGGATCCCATAGTCAGATACCGTTGCAACCAGGTTTACTTTGCTCTGCGTCGTAATTGTTAAGTAACGACCATGATTTCTCAGACTTCTTGATAATGAGGGCAATTGAGATCACATGGTCTAGGATTGTGTAAATATTGGCATCGACGTTTCCCTTCCGTCAGTGACTGCTAGGACACGAATCGGTACGTCATCACCATCCAGGTAATTGGCGTAGGTGTAATTGTTGAGAATTTGCTGATTACCAGAGAGGTTATTTCTACTCTGAATCCACATTCACTAGAGAAGGGGATTTCTTGGCCGCGTGTCGTGATGGAATCTTGGGTGTCAGATGAGTAAGAGTTGTGACACAGACACTCGTAGGAATCGTTTTGTACAGTGTGGAATGGTTCATTTATGGCGCCCTATAGTCATCAGAGCAATCCACCTCAAGGGGGGGGCGACACACTAAGTCAAGGGTGAAAAACGTCAGCATTTGGCTTTGAGGTATGATGTTTATGGGCTCGGCACCTGGGAAGGGTCATCATGGCTAGGGTAGGTCAACCTATGGATAATGAGTACTTAGCTCAAACCAACAGCTCTTTCTCGACAAGCCGTATCTCCTTACCAATCAACGAAGCCGGTAGAATTCAAACGAGGGATTTGATCTCATTTCTCCCCGGCAGGAGACTGCAGAAACCCCCATAGTGTTCCCGAACATAGATCATCTCAGATCACAGGTTGTTCATCGTAGAGCACAACGAGCTGTCTTCTCACAGGCATTTGAGTCATGCCAGGTCTTGTCAAGTACAAGCGTAGCCGGTGATCGCGAGGTTGAAGCTGGAAGTGAGTGCTTGCGGGGTTGTTTGTCAACTAACTCAACTCTCTGAAAATAGCTATAGGATTCGCCACCTCGGTCGACACCGCCACTATGACAGGCCAACTCTGTGATGCCACTTCCTAAAGTACCCTTCACCTGCCTTCGTCGTACTAGTAGCGATTTTCCAAACTACTAGCTATCCTGGAAAATACAAGTCGAAAATTATAGTTCTAATATCTACATTACGCGCATCTTTCTCTACAATTAAATTCATGTTGGTCCACTAATCTAGTCATTGTGAGCCATTAAGAAGTCGACATCCACTTGCTCTGCTTCCCACCTAGCCAGCTCCTTTAAGGCAGACATGTAATGTGGATGGCTAGCACCTAAAATATGGTAGCGTAACCGCACACATTCGCTCATGAGTTTTCTAGCTTCCGCATCACGACCCTGCCCTTTCCACGTGATAGCAAGGTTGGCCATGCTGGCTAGCGTGTAGGGGTGGTCCGCCCCAAGCTTCGTCTTACGAGTCTCCATTACTTGCACCTCCAGCTCTTCGGCATCCTTCCACCGCCCTTGGTTCAGGTATGTTGACGCCAGATTGGCCATGCTGGTCAGCGTGGACGGATGGTCCGCTCCGAGCTTCGTCTTGTAAGTCTCTATTACTTGCACCTCTAGCTCTTCGGCATCCTTCCACCGCCCTTGGTTCCTGTACGTCGACGCTAGGTTGGCCATGCTGGCCAGCGTGTTGGGATGGTCCGCTCCGAGCTTCGTCTTGCAAGTCTCCACTACTTGCACGTCCAGCTCTTCGGCATCCTTCCACCGCCCTTGGTCCCTGTACGTCGACGCCAGGTTGGCCATGCTGGT